GTGGGGTTAAACACGTTTGCGAGCGCTCAACCCTCCCCTTACCTAGGACAGTGGTGTAAATGTAACAGCACAACATAAGATCAAACTTTGTAATTCAATTGGAAAGTCTTGACTCATCAGATCGGCACGAAGCACAAAAAATAACTAAAAGACAAAAGACACAAAGTTCCGATCTAAGATTACTCTCAGTTATTGAAAATAGATAAATCATGATTTTCAAGACTTAAACATCAGTTCAAATCTAATGGAGTTAGTGTATTGACATCATACGTAGTATAAGAAAACATGGCCTTGTGCAATGCCAAGTTATTAGTATCGATATGATGTTAGACATAGTGTTCATAACTTCATCAATACATATCTATAGTTATGTTTTAATTTATCAAAAACAAAATCAATTATCATGATCTTAGAACCGATAATGACAATTTTCAAAGACCGTATTACAGTGTTAAATTTATTACCTTAAAGAATAAGTTTATTTACAGGATCAATAAGTTTACATCAATAGTATCTAAATTTACGGGCTCCATAAACAACATCAGCGTAAAAATTAGGCTGATATCTTATTTGTAATAAGGTTTCTACAGGCAAAGCCAATCTACCAAACCAAATGTTAGTATCTAAAAAAGAAGTAAATTAAGGTGTTGTAAAGCAATTTGTGGTAACGAGATCCTTGACTTCATAATATACCAGTTATACGTTGTTTACGTTGATAGAAATAAAAACAATAACTAAAGACACGGCAGTAGAGTACCAGTTCGAGCTTTTCATCCTTCTTTGCCTCCAGAATAGGTATCACGATTCTCTTTATAGAAAATTTGAAATATGTAACTTAATGTGACGAAGATAAAACGGCGAGAAGGGTAAAACATACTGTGCTAAAAAAGCAACAATTTCCAAGAGAACACACAAATTAAAATATCGTTACAGGAATTATGCACGACCTTATAAGTAAAAAATCTCGACAGCAAGAGGATGCTGGTTAATCATCCTAAGATTATATATATCGGATGTCACAGCTAAATAGGCAAATTTTCCCACTGTTTCCAATTTAGTAGAACAAAGAAGTATTATTTTGCTCTTTTCGTGTCCCATTCGGACTAAACGGGCAAATTTTCCGTATATTGCAGTGTACTCTTTCCATATTGTTACCTTGAAATTATTTCTCACAGATATTCGATATGTAAAATTTTACCAAAATCTGTGACATAGCCCATTTACTGTTCCTTGACATCCGTCAAGTACAGATATAAAAATTCCGGTAACTTAATTGCCAAAATAGCGGTTTGTGTTCGTATCTGCGAAAAAAGCAGGCAACACTATGGTGTAGTATGACGTGAATACTAAAAGGAAGTTCATACGAATGAAATCATCAATTCTTCTACATTCAGGTCCGTGCGCAACACAAAGAGTCAAACAATATATTATTCCAACATCTCAGCTTAAGGCCTCCTCTTGGCATTTTAATATCATTACTGGCTACCTCAAATACAAAAAAAACCTTCTATTTAGTGTTCTACAGCTAAACGTTTAGTGCTTTTAACAAGTTCCTTAACTACTATTAACGGGGTAAATTCAGTAAAAAAATCTCCCATTGACTTTTATGCTAATCTATGTCTTGAATTAAATTTATAACTGATTTACCTTTAGAAATCAGAAGCTTTCATATATCATTCATTAAAGTACAAATGAAGCCCCATCTTTTGCAACAATAAAAACATAGGGTCATGCGGCATTTATGGGCATTCACATGGCCTTGTTTACAAACATTGTAGATTCGCACTTAATTCCTTTACTGACCCCCATTACTTTTCAACCTTGTAGTAAAATAAAATTAGTGCATTCAGCATTCATTTTTTTATTTTTTTTAACTCTAGTTTTGATCCATCTATCAAAAAATATTTATTACAAACACTATCTACCAATCAGAAGAGCACAGGACTTCAGTTTTATACAGAGAGCTCTCCCCAAAATGGGCGGTCCCTGATGACGTATATTTATTTACTGAATTTACCCCTATAAGAACTTGTTATTTATTTGTGGAATAAAGCATATGAAAATAATGACAGTAATTATTTTTATTGAAATGATACTATTTCTTTAGATGATTTATATACATTACGTGCTTTTGATGGTCTTTTCAATTCGGTTGACAGTTATGAATTTTCGACTCTCTACACAATCTTATTAACTATAGTAATGGTGCATTGTATCCAGGCATTATACCAACTTGATTACAAATCGTCTGAACTTACTTTCACCTCGGCCCACTAAGGTAGAGTGACCTACATAGGAAAGTGAAATGTATGTATGTTTTAATATCTTTTAAAATCATTTTGTGATATTTATGAATAGCGTAACTCTTGCTGCATCAATCGTTTCGAATCAAGTGAACTATGTATTCATTGATGCAAAGGTGAATTATTATTTTTTTCAAAAATTGTGTTGCGATAAACTGAGCAAAAATATTCTGTTGTCTACAAAATTCATGGTATACGCTTAGAGAATTAAAACACACCAGTAATCTCGATGTCTAGTAATGATGGTCTTTTATCTAGACATATATATGTAATATGAAAGATATCATTTGAAGCAGGAAAAGCTTTGCATCTTTGACTTTTTATCATGGTGATACCATTTCCTGTTTTAAGTTGTATCATTTTAACCACGATTCCATACACAAATAAATGACCGCCATGATATATCAAAAAATTGTTAAATGCGGCGTTAAACACCACCAATCAATCATTCTATTAACCACTACTGAGTTAAACTGTTATTTTTAAATCGTCCATACCTGCTTACAATTTTGCTATTTTTGAAAAAAAAAGTCGTTTTGTTAATAGTCTGCTTAAAACGACTTTTTGAACAACTCATTTCTATATTTGTTTATTTTCATTTGAATTATTTCGATCATTTTTTTTGTTTTTATGGATTTTGTTTACTTATATTTACTGTTGTTAATTAGATAAATTGTATTAAGAGTCGGCGCATAATTACAATTGATAATGAGTTAATGTCATTTTATAGATTTAGATGTTTCAGTTTCACACGGGTGCAGAATACAAAATGTTTGTCCCAAGTCAAGAGCCTGTACATCAGTGGTTGTCGTTTGTTGCTGTCTAACATAGTTGTTTTTATTTTGTTTATTCTTATTTGTACATTAACCTGGCAATTGGTTTTCCTGGTTTGAATTGTTTTACATTTTGTAATGTCGAGGCTTGAATACGGTATGTTTTTGTTCAGTGTTGCCCATAATAATCTGAGGTTGTTTATGAATTGAATCACAGTAGATTTAAAAATGTCATAACAAATGGCAAAGACATAGATGTTTTGAAATAAGTCATCAAAGATACCAAAGTTATGACTTACTAAGTCATCACCCAGCAGTGACGTTCAAATCAATGATATTTGGAAGGGCAAATCAATTACGAATTTTGGATTGAAAAACAATTAAAATTTAAAAAAACACGATACCCATGCCTACAAACTACAAACAAACATACAACAGTATACAAAAAACACTACCCAGGAAACTAAAACCTGAGCAACATGAACCCACAACAAATCGGGAGTGAACACAGATGGTTTGGAATGCTGAGTAAATCCTGATCCACTAGTAGCATTCCTCTTGTTGCTCATGGGCAGTAAATATCGTTGATAGGTCGCATTCGGTCTTGTCATAATAATAACATTATCAGTATCAATTTAATGCACCAGCTGTGCATTTCGACATAAATACCTCTTAAGTGCTGCCCGAGGCCAATATTTATAATACAACCGTGGAAATGATGATTAAAATCAAAAAGAACAAAACGGACTAAGGAATCAGAGAGAAGCACGAGAGGGACACATTCCTAAGTTAAAAATGAATTCCAAAATTTTATAACAGCGCGCTTAAATAAAAACAAATATATCCGTACTTCCTGTCAGTACCAAAGTACTAGCTATTTGGCTGGTGATAACCATCAGCAGAGATATCGACGCAGTGGTAGTAATTACATTAGCGTTGTCAATTTTACTGCACTGGATACGCATTTCGACAATGTCTCTTCAGTAATGATCGAGGCAAAAGTTTATGAAAAACCAACATAAAATACAAACGTTGAAGAGATGATTAAACAAAAATATACCAAAAGTAAGGCCAAACATGGCAAGGAGTCAGTGCTATTGATGAATTCAGAAAGAGAGGATTGGATTTTGGACACAACAACTGGAATATGTACTTGGTCATTTATGACACTGATATGCAATAAAGCTCAACCAACGCAACATGAAATCCGTAAAATTTTCGAAAGGATGACTTCAACTTTGCCATTATGAGCCACATATGCCTAGGTTATAAAAGCATGCTTCGAATGATTTTTATCACTTTAGGAAACACTAAATTTACAGACAGTTTATAAGCACTTTTATGGATTAAAAAGGACCGCATAGGAATATTTCAAGTCACCATAGGTGTGCTGACTACTGGACTGGAAATTCATAACAGTTTATTTCTTCAACAAAAATTATATCTATACTGTCATTTAATCCAGAAAAGCAGTGCGGACGCATGAAATTTATTACGAGTTATTTTAATTTTTAACAGGACTGGGTCGATACATCTGCTGGTTGACTATCAGTCCCCGATGATATCATCAGCTGTGTAGTCAGTACTTCGGTACTGACATGATTTATAACAAAACTTTCTAAAACTGTCCGTTTATAAATTTTGACAGTATAAAGAAACTAAGGTGTCAACTCCCTCAGGCAAAGTTGACCTGAGATGGATATGGCTATTTTTGTATGTCCTTTTTGGTCATATAGCTCTTCAACTGTTTCGATTCTTGTACATCCTTGGCTTTCAAATACTCGGCTTTGAGCGTTCCTGAAGGTAAATCCAGAAATTTATAACGTGTTGTTTTCATTTTTTACATCATATGGATATTCCAAAAATACTAAGATATGGTAAAGTCTATACAAAATTCTATGTTAGCGTAACTAGAACAATCAACAAGTGCAACTTTACTGTACCAGACTTGTCAAGCTTAAACAAACCAAAATGAGATATTCCATGTTCCCATCTCTTTATATCCTTTATACATAACATAATTATAAACGAAGTTTTTAAATCGTAAATCTCTGCAATTTGGTTTTTACACCTTAATTCCATAGTGTAGTGAGAATTTCATTATTGAAAGCTTTTCATTTGTTGAAGGTTTTATTTTCCGAAATATTTCGACGTCAAGGACGTGACATGTGATCTGTTTTTCTTTAAAACAAGTATCATTGAAATACAAAAAAAGCGGAAGACATCAAACGGAAAACTCACTAGTCGACGCGAGATAACAAAACCATTGCCAAAACGAAAACGACAAAAGGTAAAACAGCAGTATTTAAACATTACATATTAAACCTAACACTGAGCAACACGAAACCCATCAATGTAATAACAAATATATTCCTAAAAATAGTAAAGAACAAGAAAAATTACCTGTAAATAAACATAGTGTATAACTATGAGGTGTGTATAACAAGGATGATGTAAAACAGAAACATATTCAAACATATAGAGGTTGCCACCAAATCGGAATGTTATCTTGAGCAATTACATCACTTGGCGTCATTATTCGACCATTATTCCGTTATTTAACATTTTATAAGAAAATCTACGGACATGAAACCACAAAACCAACTGGAACAAAACTTGAACAGCTATAAATATGGTGTATAGTTTCAAAATTGTAAAGTACTATGTCTCCGACACCTAACAAAAAAAAGGTGAACAGGCAATCTATACTAGAAATAGATTTTAATGGTAAAGTTAATAAACACAACCCACTAATACATTCTGGAAAATCTGTTAAAGTTAACTCGCTTCAAACTTTGGGTGAAAAGATAGCGATTATTTTCTTCAAGAAGGTTTTGATAACCCTATCACTATCATCAATCTTGCTAACATTTTACTGAATATTCAAGAAAGTCTATATCACAAAAGTCACGCTTAAACACTGAATGCTGTAAGATATGTTTGCACATTTGTTCTGTACATTATGACACTCGATACATAAAAGAGCATTTATGTGTATAAGTAAAAAATCGGAGACTCGTAAAGATATAGCATGATTCATAATAATTAGTCGAGTTGCAGATGTTAAGTATATATTTCATTCATAACAAATGTCCACAATCTAATTTAAATACAGATCCTGTGTCCAAGTTTTGCTCTCAAGAATCTGAAAACACTTGTTTCTTTCTCTTATTCTGACAATTTTCATATCAGCCAATCAAATTGCTGACTCCAAATTTTTGAAAGCGTGCATCCTTACGACAAAATTCAAGGATCCCGAAAGGTCTTTAAAACAGAAAGTAGAATGGAGCGTTATCAGATTCTTGTAAGCGAATAGTGGAAACATGATATGTATTCAATCAGATAACAAATATTTAAAAACATTAGGTAAAATTGAAATTTTCAATTGTTCAATGTGTTCATCACTATGATAAGTGATGGGCGTTGTATGCAGCGCTCCATATCTCCCCTGAATGCTTCAGGCTCCTACAAATATAAAGTACTATACGTTAATGTTGATAAATAGGGTTTATTATTTAGCTGTTAAGTATAGAGCATGTTTAAAAGCAACTGTAATGTATGTTTAATAAAAAAAGTTATATAATTAGCTTATAAATGATTGTCATACATCAGTGCTTTGATAAGATGCCAAGATAAGCACTGATAATTTCTTTAACGCTAAAAATTAACCTGAAATGAATTGGCTATTATTATTAGGACCCCTTTTGGTCATGTATCTTCTCGTGTATTCGAGTATTTATATATCCTAGGTTTCAAATGTTTTGCTTTGAGCGGATGGTAAATCCAGAAAATCTCTTCGATGTTCGAATTTGATAAAGTGTTGTGTTTTTAGTCTTCAAAAATAATAATAAGTTATTTTTTGTAAATACTGAAAACACATTTAAATGTATCCTTAAATATATTTACATTGTGTATCTGATAACTTTACTTAACTTTTAATAAATGTATATGTATCGTTTTTAAATAGAAAAAGTTTGCTTCTATAGCTATTGACTAGATCATCATGCGCCAATAAGTTTTCAATTTTGTAGAGGCCTATATCGCATGTGATTAATCAAAATTTCTGTTAATTTTCTTTGCTAGGGTTGATAAATTTGCATGCGAAATTTACTAGTGCCAATAAAGAATGTTTTAGTGACAGTACACGTTATTTCTATTTGAAAAATGCCCCTTAAGGTGGTGCCTAACACTATAGGGAGATAACTCTGTAAAAATCAGCTAAACGTTTTAATCATGTTGTATTGTTAACGAAATATCAACTTCTCAATGATCAAAATTAGTGTTTGTCAAACTGCTATATAACCAGTGAAATTTTTCTGATAAAGTGGTTGGTTCAAATTATTTGAAATTTTTATACTTTTGTCAAAGGGTCAAAGTAAACATTTTGTCAAAATTTTAGGAAAATTAAACGAGCCAAATTAGTATTAGTCAAGGTGTTGGGTACCACCTAAAGTACTGGGTAAATCTTTATTAAATAAAGTGAGATGCTGAGTCCATGATAAAAATTATAAATTTCTTTTTTTCTTGTAGTCGAGTTATTCAAGTTTTTATATAAAATATTCCAAAAGCATTTAGTGTGTTAATGCAACTCAAATTGGAACCCACTGTCTAATAGTTTTGAAGTTTTGTTGGTACAGTAAAATGTATAAATTCTAAATAAACCATATCTTATGTTTGATATCGTAGTCGAAACCTAACTTTAACCCCATCTTAGTAATTTCATGAATAGGAAATAACAACTACATGTGTACATAATAAGTAACATCAATATATGTCAAAAATAAATTTCCATATATACTCGTGTGACCGATTCAGAAATGATGTTGCACTGTTGGAAAGTCACTGTATTGATGTAGATTTACGAGGAGGCTTAGACTAAGAGGCGTTATTTACTACGACAAACGTTGAATTTCTAAACGGATCCATTCATCGAAAAGTTTCTTCAAAAGACCACCATTGGAACAGTTAATGACACTTAATTTTACAATATTTTTGTTCAACCCGAACTAATGCAGTGCATACAAATTCATCACTAACTTCAAAATATCAGCAAATGACTTTTGTAGAGATTTGACCTCGAATGGTATACCATGCTTGTTACACAGTGATTTAACCAATGGCTGTATCTTGTAGAGGTTGTGTCTTGGCATAGTAGGGAACAAACTGAAAGACAAAGTGTCGTCAGATAACTGTACAGTACAATTTTACACAAAAACTTTATTGATATTTTGTATAGTGTTTGTTGTGAATGGTAGGAAAAAATTTAAAATTGTTATTAGAGATTGATTTTGAATATTATATCAGTTTTAACACATTGGTATTATACCAAAGGTAATTTTATTCAAATATTTTTAGTATAAGTAAAAACAGATGTGTGTTTAACGTCAATGCGACAAGAAGTAAAAAAAAAATACAAACCTAAATATTATGTAATTGTAGAATACATTAATTAATGTATTTAAGGATCGGCAAAAATCCATACTTTATACCAAGTAATATGTTTTACCTATTTTTTTTCAGTTTTGTAGGAAGTCAAAAGATATAACCAAAGATCTGCCCATCAACAATAAGTAGTAATTCCTTTTTGTAGATCCATATATATTGTTGCCTTAAAAAATAATGTCATTTTGTTTTTCTTTGTTGAAATAGTTGTTTGTTTTTATAGTGATTAAGATTGTATTACAATGTCGACTGCTGTACACCCAATTTTTGACATTTGTACTTATCATGTCTGTTTGTTTTGCTCATAAATTGTTGTCAATATAATGGAATTCTATGCGACTGTCCTACAAGAAAAAGGTTTAATCCACCATTTTCTACATAAGGAAATGCCTGTACTAAGTCAGGAGTATGACAGTTGTTTTCCATTCGTTTGATGTGTTTGAGCTTTTGATTTTGCCATTTTATAAAGGACTTTCCGTTTTGAATTTCCCTTGGAGTTCAGTATGTTTGTTATTTTACTTTTTACTTACTGATGCTCTATCTGGAAGTTAAGGTGACCAGTAAACCAGTCATTAAAGAAAGATTTTTCAACATCACAAGTGGCAAACAAATGTAGCTTCAGCCATGGTTTCTTATCATCATGTTCAATATGCATTGGTATATGATTCGACTGAGTTACCCATGTAAACCACATTGAATCCACTACCCTGCATTTGCAAAAGAAATATTACTTAATGAAGTTCGCCTAGTCTGGTATGTCTGGTAAATCAAAAACATCCAAATCATTAGAATTGTGCTGCTATTGAACTATAGTCTTCCTGTACTCTTATTCGCCGACAGCTTTTCCGTATACAGTGACATTAACAGTGACACATTTCGTTAGATTTTCGGCAATCGCACGGCCAAAGCACGAAAGGAAAACCCGTGTTGAAAAAAAGTAACAATTTTGAAGGAAGACGGTCTTAACCAAGAAAGCACCAAAAGTAAAACACCAAATCTTTTTCGACTTTTTTAATAAACACATGGGAAAAGCGTGGAAAATTGAAGAAAAAAAAAAACATTTCTCTATCATCTAAATTATTTTTATCACGTGCTCCATAACTTTTTTGTTGATTGTTTATTAAAGTTAACATCGGTAAACGTCGGCACCAAAACCCGAAAGTAAATTACCAGCCACAGTTTTTTATTAGCACTCACCAAATGAAATATTTTTTTCTCGATTATACCTTATGGATTCATAATTAATGTTAAAAACGTACAGAAAAGACTTAGTTAAGTAATTATTCATGCATTGGTTCAAAAATTTCCATAAAATTATAATCACTAGACACTCGTTTCAAAAGACTTTTAGGTATTGATGTTTAGGATAAAATAATAGGTAAATCTATAATTTAAAACACCACAGTAGCCTAGAGTTAGGGAAGCAATGGGGACATTATTTTGTCGTTTAACCTTTTCAAAACAGAGGATATCTATATTATAATTATGACATCTCTTGCACAAATCGTATGTTTCGGAAATAAACTTCCCCAGGTACGTCGAGTCAAACATACAGAGAATAGAATAAATATAATAACAAGAGGCTCTAAAAAGCCTGAATCGCTCACCTTTAATTTTTTGCTTAAATTTTTCATCAATGGTTATTTTTGCTTTTCAATATATATTAATCAGTGGCTTAAAGATGCCATTTAAATGTTCTTTGTATCGGTCAAATTTTCTTCAAAAGCAAAAAAATACATTCTATCCCTATGTTCCATTTTAGCCATAGTGGCTGTTTCTTGACGTACAAGGAAATAAAATATAAAATCTATACTAGATACTCTGAAACTCATTCAGTCCAAGTTTGGCTGAAATTGATTCAGCAGTTTCAAAGCAGAAGATTTTTTAAAGTAAGCAAACTAGATGAACAAATTGTGAAAAATTTTCTTTAAAGGGCAATAACTCCTTAAAGGTCAATTGACAATTTGGTCATATAAAAACTTATTTGTAGATTTTACTTTGCTGAACATTTTTGCTTTTTACAGTTTATCTTTATCTATAATAATATTCAAGATAATAACCGAAAACTGCAAAATTTCCTTAAAATCATCAATTCAGGGGCAATAACCTAAACATCAGATACCCGATTTGACTGATAATTTCAGGGCTGATAAAACTTGACTTAATGAACATATTAACCCCATGTCAGATTTGCTCTAAATGCTTTAGTTTTTGAGATACAAGTCAAAAACTGCATTTTACCCTATGTTCTATTTTTAGCCATGGCGGCCATGTTTTCTAAGGAAACAGAAAATAAAACACAAACTTTATTCTAGATGACATAAGAATCATTCAGCTTAAGTTTGGTTTAATTTGGTTCAGTAGTTTCAGAGGAGAAGATTTTTTAAAGTTAGAAAACATGATAAACAAATTGTATAAAATTGTCTTTAAAGGACAATAACTCCTTAAGGGGTCAATTGACAATTTTGATCATATAAAAACTTATTTGTAGATCTTACTTTGTTGAACATGTTTGCTGTTTACAGTTTATCTTTATCTATAATAATATTCAAGATAATAACCAAAAAGTGCAAAGTTTCCTTAAAATTACCAATTTAGTGGCAGCAACCCAACAATGGGCTGTTAGATTCATCTGAAAATTTTCAGGGCTGATAGAACTTGACTTAATGAACATATTAACCCTATGTAAGATTTGCTCTAAATGCTTTAGTTTTTGAGATATAAGCCAAAAACTGCATTTTACCCCTATGTTCTATTTTTAGCCATGGCGGCCATGTTATTTGACGAAACACAAAATAAAACACAAACTTTATTTTTGATACCATAAGAATCATTCAGCTTAAGTTTGGTTGGAATTGGTTTAGTAGTTTCAGAGGAGAGGATCTTTGAAATAGTTTACACCGGACGGACGACGAAGGACGCCAAGTGATGGCAAAAGCTCACATTTCCTTTTGGGAAAGTTGAGCCAAAAAGCTTCGAAAAATGTTATCCAGTTTCACTCCACTTTTTTATGAATAAGCAACTAAGTACCATATGTGTTATGAAAAAAAAGCAATGGGTAATTGTATCTAACATTAGTAAATGTTGAAAATACTGCCTTACCTAAATGCTTCGTAATAGAAAAGTGTCCAACCCCATCCGAGCAGGGGTACAAAAATCAACAAAAATTTCAAGTTGAAGAGAAGCATGACTGCAAGATCCTTCAAATAAAGAAAAAATAAAAGTTATAAGACATTTATTTTTTTCTTTCATGTTTAAAAATATTTCATAAAAGTTTCCTTTCGTATAGCTTCAGATAAATAACAGATATCTCCCTCTTTCCCTCAATTGTGATATTAACGAATGAGACTAATACCGAAATTGTATTATCAACACGATGGGTGCCATACATGAAGCAGGAACTGCTAACCCATCTGGAACACCTGAGTTCACTCCCAGTTTTGGGGCATTAGTGTTGCTCAATCTTTAGTTTTCTTTATACTGTTTTGTTATTGTTGTTTTGTCTTTTCGACATTTTCGTTTGGCCATGAAGTTATGTAACTTAATACTTATGCTTATTTTAACGTTTTAAATTTTCTCCATGTAAAAAATGTGCAAGTTTACAATTGGTATTAATACTGAATAAAAAACACATTAATTCATTTGAACTGTATCTCAATTATACTTACCAGCCATAGTTTTCTTGTAAAAACATGCCTATAAATCGTGAAATGGAAATATACAGGAAACAGTAATGGTGGACCGACTATAAATGATAAATGATTATATTATTAGTTACATTGTGCTAGTGATCTAATTTTACCCAAAGTGTAAATAGGTGTTAATTAAATACATACTTATGTTGTATTGTTACGTCATTGTCCCATGTAAGGGGAGGATTTGTTGCCATCAAACATGTTTTATCCGCCACATTATGTATGTGTTTGTCCCAAGTCAGGAGCCTGTAGTTCAGTGGTTGTCGTTTGTTGCTGTATATTTTATTTGTTTTTCGATTATTGCTTTGTACATAGATCAGGCCGGTTTCTCGTTTGAATTGTTTTACATATGTCGTATGGGGTCTTTTAAAGCTTACTATGTGGTATGGGTTTTGCTCATTGTTGAAGATCGTACGGTGACCTATAGTTGTTCATTTGTACGTCATTTGGTCTCTGGTGGAGAGTTGCCTCATTGGCAATCATACCACATCTTCTTAAAAATGTTTGTCCTTACAAAAGGTCACAATGGCTCCCACTAAGAATTCCTGCAAGGTTTGTCAAAGAGGGTGACATCCCTTTCCGACCAGGTAACATTGGTATGTTATGTTTCGTTCTCATTGATTTACACCTTACATCTCCATTTATCCATATCTATAGAATATAATCCTAATACTTACGTACTGGGAAATACTTGTGTTGTAAATCAAATGGGATGGATTTTTCCCTAGATTTAGCAACCTAAAATTGAAAACAAAATTATCAAAATAAGGCAAAACACATGTGATAGATAGTGACTTCTAAATGTTACCAATCACCCACAAACAGAACTTATCAAGCATTGCCATTTTTTTATTTTACCTATTTTTCCTTTTCTATTTTTGAGGATTTAAGAAATGACAAACAGCAGTCTATAAAACATTACATACTTCAATTAAAGACTGGGCAACACAAACCACACCAAAACCGGGAGCTAATCTCAGACGTTTCGGAAAGGTAAGCAGATTATTAATAGAATAATGGGGTGGTAAAATATAAAGAATGCAGAATAATTGGTAAAAAATATTAAGAATAGAGAAAAATGACCTAAAAACAGAAATGAAGAACCACCATCCAGAACCTTCTTGGAGAGTCGTAGTTTCATAAAATGTTTATATATTTTGCAAGTTTTTATAATACTCTGAAGGTTTGTATTCATTTTCTTAAACATTTTGCCAACTTCATCGCCCAGTAAACATTGATGCATTTGAAGTATTTTCGCGCAGGGTGACGTTATTGGACTATACTTGTCGGACTTTTCTTGTTGACTAAGTCAAAACACTATATAAACATAAATAACAAAATGACATCTGAACTCTACTTATCTACAACTTTCGTGATCTAGTGCTAACAAAGTATATGTAAAAATTAATCAAAGATACCAGGCTTATAATTTTATACACCAAAACGCACGTTCCATCTACATTAGACTCATTAGTGTTAAGGAAAAGTGTTTTGCTTATGCACAGAATAAATTATTATCATTCTTCTGTCAAGTGAAACGGTGTGTCTTGTGGGCATAAGGAATTCAAAGTAAAATTGTTAAACATTCAGTTCGTCCTTTTTATTTATTATATATAGAAAGTATGATACAAGCACTCACTTCCACTGGCATGACATCTCCCACAACCATAAACGTATCTAGTCTAACATCGGGATCTTTCCCCATCTACGAATCAAAGAAAACATTTCAGATGCTTTTTTGTGCTTCTTTGTTAAATATTTGTTTGTTTTTGTTGTGATTAAGATTGTGACACGGTATTGACTGCTGTACCCCTATTTTGACATTTTTACCTATTATGTCTGTTTGTTTTATTCACGCATCGTTGTCAGTATAATGGAATTTGATGCGACTGTCATACAAGTGAGAGGTTTAGCGCTATAAAACCAGGTTCAATGAAGAAAATACCTGTACCAAGTCAGGAATATGACAGTTGTTGTCCATTCGTTTGATGTGTTTGTGCTTTTGATTTTGCCATTTGATTGGGGACTTTCCGTTTTGAATTTTCCTTGGAGTTAAGTATTGTTGTGATTTAACTTTTTTTCAATTTATATTTCTTCACATATTTTACATTTGAAATATTGGTTTTACATATGAATAAATAAAAGCAGATATGGGTATTATTATTGTCATTATTATTATTATCAATAATATTACTTTCGTCAATATTACAATTCTTTCATCTGAAACAATATGTCTTAATCATTTACTCGATCTCCGTCGGTAATGCCTGGAATTGTGCATGGGGAAAGAAAACCATCACATTTATTTATACTTTTCCAAAGCCAGGAATCAGGGTCAAGTGACCTTTTGATCATTCATTATCATGGTTGAGCATAGATTGTCCGTCTTGTTTGTACAATTGTAAACTCTACTTGCCTTGATTTTGAAAGGTCTACATATATAGGAAAGGAGTTAATGATTATGTACAGTTTTAAAAACTAAAGACAATAAGAATATAGGTCTGTTTTTTGTTCGAGAGCAGGTCTTGTTACGGTATCGAATATAGTCTATGTCATGTTGCAGTCCCCTTTTAGCACTGGACGTTAAGGGAACACCAATCAATCGAGCATTCACTGTTTCCATCGAAATGGTTAAAGTTGAACAAGTTGAGTGTGTACTTCGTGCATAAAATTTAACTTTATTAAAATAAGAAGACCTGGTATAATTGCCAATGAGACAACTATCCACCAGACACTAAATGACGTACATAATAGCAACTATTTGTCAATGTACGCCCTTCAACAATGAACAATCCCCATACCGCATAACATGCTATAAAAGGCACCGGCATAACAAAATGTATAACCATTCAAACGAGAAAACTAACGCTGATTTATTATAAACAATCAACGAAAAACAAAAATGATATACAGCAACAAATGACAACCACTGAATTACAGACTTTGAACAGGCACACACAGAATGTGGCAGGGTTAAACATGCTAGCGGGCGTCCAACCCTCTCCTAACATGGGACAATGGTGCAACAGCACAATACAAGAATAAACTATACAAATCAATATACGAAAAAACATCTTTTGAATGAATTTGCTTGTTTGTTAGCTGAACAAGGTTTTTTTTAATTATATATTGTAAATACAAATAGGTTTATCAGTCACCATCACATAATTTGATTGGTAAGTAATATCGACTGTTGTTATTATTTCAAAAGATAGCAATCAAAGAGTATATATATATATTAATTTCATTGTGCAAACAAGCAATCTGCACTTTATTTTTATTTGTACACGGCCAAGTCAAGTATGCATAAACTCATCATAGATATCACTAATACCAGGATTAAATTTTTGTACCCAGACGAATTCCGAACGGTTTTTCCAAATACAGCTAAGGTAATCAATTCCTGGAGTAGAAAATCATTAGTATTTCGAAAATTTCAAAGTTATCTTTTAGCACTTGTAGGTAAAATAATGTGCCAGAAGTTACTTACCACATTTGGTTTTGCATGGTGCTGAAAATGCATATGATTCCACCATAGTGGTGAAACTCCCTGTATAAGAAAGTAGTTCTAACATTTAATAAATAATAATTATAATAATTTTCAAAACTTCAAAACTATATTGCGCAATCCAAATCTATGAATATTAAGTTAAGTATGAAATTTACATCGATATAGATGCGTGCTATAAATATTACCCAAATCAATCTTAGTGAAATTGTTAGCATTAATATATAGCAATCAATAGTTATTCTAAATAAGCATGCCTCTAGATCAAGTTATCATTGGTTTAGTTTAGAGTTTTAAATATATGTGTGTGTACTAGTACGGATCATACCTTCATATAGGCAAGTAAAAAATACTCAAAGAAATGGTCTAAAGCTGTGTTGTGAAATACAGATAAATGACCAAAATCATGTGCTAGAAATCCGCTTTGAGCCTGAAAAAAATAAAATGTTTACTGTTACAGTATTGAAGTTTTCATTGAGTATAATTACGCCCGATGTTATCAGAACAAACACTTACTCAATTAATGAAGTTGATATCTCAAAAAGACATGTAATATCCGACAGAACTGCCTGTTACTCCTTGTTTACTTTTAATAAGATAGCATTTTAAAAAAATAAAGAAGAAAAGACTCCACAGGGAAATACAAGTTATTACTTCAAGAAAACCTTAAAACATCTTGGTCAACAGAAAAAAAAAGAAGAAAATAATGTACAACAGAAAAACACAGCTTGAGCAACAAGATCATCATTAAAGACGGGAATGAACTCTAAAATACCGCCAAGAAATATTTCTATCATATAAAAAATAAGTGTGACCCGACATATAGTCTTACGGTTTTGAAGGGTTACCAGTATTGTATTTGAATAAGATTAGCTCTGTTTTCAAGTACTTTATTTTATCACAATGCTTTTTGCTATCTTTTCTTCAAAACAGATTTCATTTATCTTAATATCTATTTTTTTTTAAATGACAAACTCATAGCCACTTAATACTCTCCCTCCTATCATATATGATTTCCAACGCTTTTGACTACATAAATGTGTCAGGAACTGTAAAATATTTTAGCTTCCATAAGAATGCAGGCGTCTTTTAAAAGGATCAGTCTGATCATTGAAAGAAAGAAAATGCATGTAATTTACTTCCAGTTGCGGATCAAGGATTTTGAAAAGGGTGGGGTACCAAGACAACGTTAGGAGTGGCACTTGAAAAAAGTCTATGCATTTACCATATATGTAGCTTCAGTCTAGTCCGTTCTCCGGTGCCCCCTCCTCCCAAAAAAATTAAATATAAAAATTCGCCTCTGAGTTCATATGCTGATGGCCGGTAACAATAATATATAAATTTTATATATAATATTATATATATATATATATATATATAGATGGTTCCTTCAATTTCTCAAAATTCAATTGAATAATATCTTATTGTCACGTCGAAGTATTTGTGAAGAATAGGTATAACACTGCATTGGCTTCCTTTTTTATGCTGGCAACTACATAAGTTCTGAAGAAATTTACGTTATTGATTTCAGTGAAAATTAATTGAACCTACATAAATTTATATAAAAATTCAAAATTCTCTGCTCTATGATAGATTTTCATAATCAGAATCTACAAAAATATCTTAATAATATACCGTATCAAATGCATTTATCAGATCGATGTCATTTTGTAAACTAATTAATTATAAACTGTTACGCTTTGCATACTGTGAAGTGCAGAGCCATGCATCATGAATCTAAGTTGAATAAACAAATTAAAATAAAATCGATCAGCTTTTATTACGAAATTTTATACGAACTTTATTACAACAAGTTTGATATTACATTTTCTGAAAGAAAGAAAAGAATTGTTTGTACTGTTATAGATTCAATACAATTTTGAAATATGTATTAAAATACGCTGTTGGAGATTACTAAGCGCCGATGAAATACAATAATTTTGTACTTTATAAGTTAGTTTGTTTCTTAATAAACAGTTGTCATTATGTCAATATTCAAAAAGACTCATTCCATTGTTATTTCAACAAATATGCCATAATAACATGACAAAGTGTTTTGTTTCAGTGTTTACTGGATAAATATGCCAAATAAAACAATTTCAGACAAGGTACCCCCAGAAGCCTGTAAATATCATGACTAGTCACATATATCGTTTACCTTTTTTAAACGAAGTTAGTAAATATTTATTACACCAATATCTAAACTGAGGGAATGAATGCCCTTTATCGTCAAGCGTCAAACGTCCAATTTTTGCTACCGTTAGCGTCAAATGAGCCTTAACTTTTTCAAATCTCATTTTGTAGCTACCGTTAGCGTCAAATGGAGTAAAATGTTTATCGTTAACATTATTTGAACAAATATTTTACCTTCATTCGTCATATGGAGTACCCCATTCCTACCCTCTAAACTCTTCTTTTTATCCGATGCAGTGTGAAGTTAAATTGACATTGTTCTTCATGCTACTGCAAAATCATTTGCTTATTTGTTTATGCGTACACACTTTTTGAGTCAGACAAGTGTATATTTTGCATTGAAGAAGACCTGTTTTATTTCGACAAACTTACCTGCACAATTCCGTACAGAAGTATGGAAGTCAGAAGAGGAACCCAACCAGTACCAAAATAGTAAAGCGTTAGATAGGATAAAACTTCTATAACAATTATATGTATCAAATACACAGCAAAATACACGTAGCTTGTCTTGAACAACCCCTGTAAATGGATAAAAAGTAAAAACAGAATACCTTTTGTTGACTTATTATACAAATACAAATACAAATATTTTATTGGCACAAACACAATTACAATAATTGGCAAAGGCCCATATTTCAGTACATTATAACAATGAATACAGCATAATAAAAGAGGGTGGAAAAGGGGGGTGCTTGCACGGAAAAAACGTGAAATAAGACATAATTTCACGTTGAACGTGAAATAATTTCTGTCATGAACGTTGCACGAAAAATAAAGACTTTGATGTGAACCTTTTGTGACTGAGTCACTGTCTTCTTGTATATATTAACTCTCTGTTTCACTTGTTATTCCCGATTTAGTATACACATGTATGATATAAATGGTTTACGGCTTTTAAAAAGTATTTCTTGACGATCCCTGCCAAGTGTTTGAATTTTATTTGAAAAATTCTGAGCACGCAAAATAAGCACTTGAAAATCACGATGCACGTACTTTTAAATAAGCAGAACACGTTGAACGAGGCACCTGTCTTGCACGACTGAACGCCAAATAAAAAAGTAAAAACACGTTGAACGTGAAATAAAAAACGGCGATCACGTTGCACGAAAATAACCCTTTACCACCCTCATAAAATAATATGTTATAATTAAGAAGCTAAAATCTAAAATATATCCCGCGAGGCGGATATATTTTAGATTTTAGCTTCTTAATTATGTATAGATTATAACATACCCTTTTTCATATTGGCCCTGGTATCATCCCGAGACTCCCATATCGGCCTCGAGGCTTTAGCCGAGGGCCGATATGGGTCGAGGGATGATACCAGGGCCAATATGGAAAAGACATGTTATAATCTATTTATCACATATTTAAGTTCTGCAGAAAATAGAAAAAAAGTTCAATTATAACAATTTAATGAAACATAACAGCTAAACTCTTAAAATTTTTATCACAAAAGTGTTATCAATTGTCGTTAAGGATGCAATGACGTCATGTCATTTGGATCAGGGCACAATAACCAATAACCTCTTTTTTGCCCCGGGCAATTTTGAGGTTATTACATATGCAAAACCCAACGTATTCGTAACAAATATGTGATAAAACATATTATTTTATTATGCTGTATTATTTTATTACGCTGTATACATACTGAAATACATAAAATATACAATTTATTGCGTTCTCTTTATTACTCAAAAATATGCATGAAATCTTTGCAATTAGACGCAAACAAACAATATTATCAATAATTTCAAAAACTGCACTTCCGCTTCATATGTTATTTCAAAAATATTCCAATATGTTATGTCCACTGCCGGTGAACAAAAAATAATGCTACCTGTAGTCAACGACGCAAAAAAATGCGTTCATGGTAGTCACAATTAATTTTTATGTAATCACGGAAAAAAACATAATACTAGTTTGCCAATATATGTGATTATTTCGGTTTTAGACACAAACTATTTTGAGAATATACGTCGAAAAGGGACAGGATTAAAGCATACAAATTTCGAACGTAAGGACCAGACTATGTAACAGCCACTATTTTCCGTCAGTTACTCTGTTCCGGCGGAACTTTTCAACTAGTTATTTCGTTCCGATGGAACTTTCCAACTAGTTGTTTTATTCCGAGTGCAGTCGAAAAGTTCCGGAAAAAAGTAGTTAGTTGAAAAGTCCCGGAACAATGTAGCTAGTTGAATAGTTCTGGCGGAACAGAACAACTAGTTACATCGTTCCGAATATACCATATTTCGTCCTTTTTGTAGAAAGCGGGGGAAGAATGAGTAACAGTATATATAAGAGCAAATAATTAATTTACAAGAATACCCAACGCACTGAAAGGGGTTTCTTTGGGGACAAATATGCAAAATTTAAGTTGTATTTCATAGCTCACATAAAACGGAATAAGTTGAATTATCATGCAAATTTAGTATTCATAGTACCCTCAAGAGAGGGAAGAATACCCCCCTCCTCATGCATGTGGTTCTTTGCATCAATTCTCCAAATGAAACTTTGTTACTGGTTAATAAGTTCCGTTGGAACTTTTGGGCTAGTTTGTTAGTTAAATTCCGGTTTTGACTTATTTGCCAAAGAGGAACTTTGTGGCTAGTTGATAAGTTCCTTTTGACTTTTGTAATCAGTATCTTGGTTTCCCTTTGAAAGGTTCAAATATAATATGTTGCGCTTTTACTTTGCATCAATTCTCCAAATGGAACTTTCTGCCTGGTTGATAAGTTCCGTTGGAACTTTTGGGCTAGTTTGTTAGTTCCGGTTTTGACTAATTTGGCAAAAAGGAACTTTCTAACTAGTTGATATGTTCCGTTGGAACTTTACAACTAGTCACTTTGTTCCGGTGGAACTTTTAAACCAGAGGAAGAACAAAGTAACTAGTTAATAAGTTCCTCCGTAACTTTTCGGCTAGTTAGTTCTTTCCGCCCGGAACTTTCCAACGTCGGAACAAAAGAGCATTTACATATGTGCTATCAGCCGCCCTACACACATACATACTAAACTTTGCTCAATAGAAGATCATGGGTCGTCTGTTGAATTCGAGTAGACTAGTCCACGAGTAAATCTTTATATTCTAACTATGTTTTATTGTGCTGGCGTGTTGTTCATTCTCATTGTGATATATGTCTTCTTTTACTTGTACTGTCTAGCTTTTTGTGTTACCATGGTTACTACCATTAGTAGAGTTGTCGTTTCATTGACGTGTACCCAAGAGGGTGTAGATAGGGGTTTACAGAACAGAGAATAATAGGCAAAAATATATAGAATAGAGAAAAATGGACCCAAAAAATAAAGAATAGAGAATAATAATGTGCTAAAACATAAAGAACAGAGAATAATGGGCAAAAGTATAAAGAATAGAGAAAAAGGGCCTGAAAAATTAAAGAATACAAAAATGAAGGACCCTTCATCCAGACCATCAACCATACTCTTTTTATTCGTACTGTGCGCATCCCCTTATAACCTGTGACTGTATAACTTTGTGTCATTTATGTGGCTTTGAAATCCGATAACTAAGACACAGCAAAATACACGTAGCTTGTCTTGAACAATCAAAAACTTTGCATCTGCCTTTTAATTTCAATGATAAATAATTGAATGACGTTAACATTTACCATTTGTTCAGCTGTTGAACGTAAATTCCTAAAATCTTCTTCGATGCTTCTATCTTGGTTTTGTTCAACGCAACCCAGTTTTAACGGCTTTAGATATTTTTTCACATGGTCTATATCATTATGGAATGCTCGAAATGCGTCCTACAATGTAGCAACTTATTTTAAAAAAATTAAACAACTTAATTCAAAGTAAATGTTTTATTAAGACACTTTACTGTATGTGTATCATAATCTGAAAAATCTTTAAAAATACAAATCTAAAAATAAAATTAGATCATTTAATACATACGTTTTCTGTCGCGCATCAATGTCTTTTTTACAAGTTTTTGAAGTTAGAAAAGTATAGAGTTTAGAAAATAAAAGCCAGAGTTGCAAACTATGCTGTCAAAACCTATACACAAAATTGAAACGAAACCGATTCAAATGTCCACGACTCGTTCCGCTGGAATGTCTTTCATCACACTAGTATTAAAATTTTTATCTTAACATCATCTGAAAAGTCTGAACCTAAAATGTTAAGTTTTGTTAAGAGTTTATGTTAATTTTCAGATATGTTTTGTTGTATATTGAGTACTGTTCAGACAATTCGCTTGAAAAAAAATCGGTATCAATAGCGGATTGCAATAGGAAAACCCGCATACTAACTGTTGCATCTTGCCCTGCATAATGACCTATAACACGACTGCCACCAGGATGTCTGTTGGACCAATCAGTGATGTTATAGACATCTCCTTGAATTACAAGCCACCGATCGTCTTTCTTGTCATGTCTTGATATTTCGTCCCATGAATAAGTTTTCTTTTCTTCATTCAATTTACCTCCTTTTCCCATGTTGATATCTGTAAAAGAAACATGTTTTAAAAATACCCATATATGTCAGGACATAATGGAGATAAAGGGAAAATAAATAAGGTCAATGAAATATTCTAAATAAATGTTATTTCTGCTTCACATCTTATAAATTTAATTTCTTCTCATACATAACCTATAAAAAATAGAAAACTTGTCCCGCCAAAACAATAGTTTTTGTAATACTTGTATCCGAAACACAACAACACAGACATATCTGTATTTTTCCATAATTTTGATGGTAAATGCATTTTCAATTGAACATATTTTTTTTTAATTTAGGCATTAGAAAAAGCCATTGTGAGTTCAATATCTAATACACTTCAGGATGTGTGGAATGCATTTGCCATTTAAAACTAGAGGCTCTAAAAAGCCTGTGTTGCTCACCTTGGTCTATGTGCATATTCAACAAAGGACACTGTCCAACATTGTAGACGAGAATAGAATTCATGACTAAAAATCTCTGTTTTGCTGATCTTGCATTGCTGATCATTTGGTCTGTTTAATTTCTCTCTATCTTCTTTAGTTTTTTTTTAAAACACAAAAGAGGGTAAAAAAATCCTCATTTAAGTGCAATCACTCCTATAAAGAGTGACAGTCTACTAAATATATCGGCAAAATTTGACTTACTAATCGTTTTTGTGATTTAAAGTGTTTATTTAGCTTTTATAATTTTTATCATAAAAGGCAAAACGTAAAAAAAAAAATGGTAAAAATTGTCATTAAAGGGTAATAACTCCAACAAGGAGTCGTCGGACGATTTCTTCCATTTGTTTTAATTGTAGATCTTGTCTTGCTGATAAGTTTTGCTTATTTAAGTTTCTATCTATCTATTATAGTTTTTAAGATATAAGGCAAAAACGTAAAAAAATGGAAAAAAAATCGTCATAAAGGGCAATAACTCTAATAAGGCGTCGACTGACGATTTCGACCATGAGACTTATTTAAATGTAGTTCTTATTTTGCTGATCATTTTTGCAATTTAAAGTTTTTCTCTATCTTTTATAGTTTTCAAGATTATAGGCAAAAATGAAAATAAATGGTAAGATTTGTCATTTGAGGGCAATAACTCCTATAAGAAGTCGTCTGACAGTTTTGTCGTATACGGACAATTGGTAGAGCTTAACATTCTGAACATTTTTGCTCTAGTCAGATTTTCTCTTTTTATAACGGTTTTCAAAATAATAAACAAAACTCCTATGTTCTATTTTAGCCATGTCGGCCATCTTGGTTTGCAGGCGGGGTCATCGGACACAATTTAAAAACTAAATACCCCACTGCTGATTGTGGCAAAGTTTGTTTAGATTTGGCCCAGTAGTTTCAGAGAAGATTTTTGTAAAAGTTAACAGACGACGACGGACGATGGACTCCAGGTGAGCTAAAAAGAGATGTTGAATAATTTTCAGAGACAACTATTCATAAAGACCAAAGGACAAAGATGTGACTAATCACAGCTCACAGTCCGACTTCCAACGATGAGAAAAGTTCATATTGTATAGTAAGCTATAAAGGGGCTCGGTATGAGATAAAATGTGAAAATGTTACAATCAACAGCCTGATTAATACTACAACAACGCACAAAAGACAAGAATGCCAGAAAGCGACCCACGACAAATATATGGATAACAGGTTCCTGGCTTGGGCTGGCAGATAAAGAATGAGGCGTCGTGTAACATATTTGTGAACGCTTTACCCCCCCCCCCCCCTAAAAAAAACAAAATACAAAACAAACAGAACAAAAAAACATACAAAAACAAACAAAGAAAGGAGAAAAAAATCTATTTTAATACCCTTTTCTATTCTTTAAACTGTTGTCCATTATTCTCTATTCTGTAAACCCCATCCAGATCCTCCGCTATGTATCAAAGAATATCTGGATGAATTAATTTTCAAGAGCAGTAATTCTAAACAACGTCAGAAATTTTTAAATAAAAAATCCAGAGAAAAGTTACAAAAAAGAGACAATTCAAAACACCCTAGGGCAGACAACAACACACAACGATGAAAGCAATTACGTAAGCATAAAAAAACACTGAAACCTTAGCATTTCATAAAAACATCAGTAGTGTACAAAAATAAAGAAATGTGGATTGATTGCCAATGAGACAACTATCCACCAGAGTTCAAATGATGTAAACGTAAGTAAATACACGCAACCGTATGGCCTTCAACAATGAAAAAAACCCGTACCGTATATAGTCGGCTATAAAAGGCCCCGACATGAAAAATTTGAAACAATTCAAACGAGAAAACAAACGGCCTATATGTAATTCATAACAAAACAATTTACAAAAAAACACATGTGACAGATATGCACCAACGACAACCACTGAACTACAGGCTCCTGACTCGGGACTGTAGTTCAGACTCTTTAGTGGTATAAAATGCTTGGTGGCATTCGGCTGTTGTCTGCTCTATGGTCGGGTTGTTGTCTCTCTGACACATTCCCCATTTCCATTCTCAGTTTTATTCAAAGGGGTCAGCATAATTATGTCCTATATCCTGTATGTTTTCTGCTTTACCTGTTTTGTATAATGTTACCTGCTTTACAAAATTATCTCATTTTAAAAATTTGCTAAAACATCATTGCTTTGTTTTTATTCATTATTTATGTGCTTATGTGACACTTTACAAGCATTTTTGATCAACATATGTTTTATTTCAATCGGATGCATCTGTGTGCAAATAGCTTAATGCTTATGTGTACTTGTCTTCCAATTGCTTACTTTAAAATAAAATGTATTTACTTATCAATATAAGTAATAAGAAAACAAAACCCTAAAAAATATTTGTTCTAAATAATTCAATTTTGAAAAGTAAACGGATATAGAAAATAGTCGCTAAATAGTGGTTTGAAGCTGGACATTGGCTAAATACCCTGTTTGTTCAACTTTAGCAACAGGGATGCAAAAAAGTTAAACTGAATAATAGTAAGACTCAATTGTGGTTAATATTAACTCAATTTAAAACAAGAAATGATATTAAGAGTCCAAGATCCACAGCTTTTCCTGTTTGATACGACATTCTTCATTTTTCATTGCTAAGCTTGTCGTGAATTTTGTAGACATTAAGAATTTTTTTTCACAGTTTATCACAACACAATATTTGATTAAAATAGTAACTCACCTTTCCCAACAGGTCAAAATCAACTAAACTGACTGCACCAATGATCAGATATTTCACATGATTCGATACGGTTGATGCACCAAGAGTTATATATTCGTTAATATCACAAAATGATTTTAAAAGGTAATAAAATACATACATACATTTCAGTCTCCTTTGTAAGTCCACGTTACTGAGGGTGTGGATGGGGTCCTTCAATTCTCTATTCTCTATTTATTTCGCCCATTTTTCTCTTCTCTTAATATTTTTGGCTTATTATTATCCGATTATTTTTTTATATTTTAGCACCCCAATAATCTCTATTCGTTATCCCCCCCCCTCCCCAATTTTTCTCTATTCTTTTTTGTTTGTTTGTCCTTTGTTTTGTAGATGTGTATATAAATAAGATGTGGTATGAATGTCAATAAGACAACCATCCACACGTAGAATTTAAGAATCGGCCCATTAGTCTTCATTCTGTAAACCCGATCCAGACCCTCATAATGCACCCGGCGTTACTATAGTTATTCAGTACACAGTAAAAAAAAACCAAAGTGAATTGATGTACAAAATGTTGATGAAATTTACCTTGTTATTTCGCTAGTGGTTATTTCAGTTTATAAACATCACTGCTCTGCAGTACACCAAGTATGGACAAACAGTTGATGAATATTGTATGCCCTTCTCTTGCCGAATGCTCCAATGAACCGCAAACTATTTCTATCGTGAATTTATTTACCTGGCGCGTCAAACGAGAAAACAAACGGTCTAATTCATAACAAAACAATTTACGAAAAACACCTGTGACAGACACGAACCAACGACAACCACAGAACTACAGGCTCCTGACTCGGAACTGTAGTTCGGACTTTTTAGTGGTATGAAATGCTTCAAAGGGGTCAGCATAATTATTTCCTATATCCTATATGTTTTCTGCTTTATCTGTTTTGCATTATGCTACCTGCTTTACGACATTCTCATTTAAAAAATATGCTATAACATCATTGATTTGTTTTTATTCATTATGTATATGCTTATGTGACACGCTTTTGATCAACATGTGTTTTATTTCAATGCATCTGTGTGCAAATGAGACAACCATCCACACGTAGAATGAATATACATTATTATACATATCATAATAAAAAATATACATACATTTCCGTCTCCTTTGTAAATCCACCTTACTGTAAGAATACTGACGGTGTGGATGGGGGTCCTTCAATTTTATATTCTCTGTAATTTGTTTGCCCATTTTACTCTCCTCTATATTTTTGGCCTATTATTACCCTTTTTTTTATATTTTAGCAACCCATTATTCTCTATTCTTTATTCCCCTCCCCCTATTTTCCTCTATTCTTTATTTTGTCGGTCCATTTTTTCTATAGATTTGGCCCATTAGTCTCTATTCTATAAACCCCATCCAGACCCGTTACTATAGTTATTCCATTTAAAAAACCCAGCAACTAGGCGTAAGACAACGTAACAAGAAAACAGTAAATAAAACCGAAGTAAATTGATGTAATAAAATATTGAAGAAAGTTACCTTGTTATTTCACCAGTGGTTATAAATTTCAATTAATACACATCACTGCTCTGCAGTATAGTACATCAAGTATGGACAAACAGTTGATGAATATTGTATAGACTTCTCTTGCAGAATGCTCCAATGAACCGCAAACTATTTCCAAGTTGAATTCATTTACCTGGCGTTATGCTAGTGTTGGCATATATATTATATAATATATTAGGGTCTGGATGGGGTTCACAGAATAGAAAATAATGGGTAAAAAGTGCAGAATGAACAAAGGGAGCTACCATTTTATTTTTAGGGGGGGGGGGGGCTAGGATGAAATTTGAAAAAAAAGACATGACCGAATAGAGATTGAAAAATAAAAAGGCAGGACAGAGATTACAACTAGAAAATGCAGGACAAAATTTTTCATCCTAGCCCCCCCCCCCCCACCCACCCCCCCCTACCCACCCCCCTAAAAATCAAATGGTAGCTCCCTAAGTGTCAAATAAAAAAAAAGGATAGAGAAAAAAAATACCAAAAAAAAATAAAGAATGAGGAAAATAGGCCCGAAAAATAAAAAAAAGAGATAAATTGGTTATATAAATATAAAGAATAATAAGCAAATTTAATAAAGAATAGAGAAAAATAGTTTACAAATGTAAACAATACAGAATTGAAGGACCCCTTCCAAACCCTCTTATAAACAATTATCAGAATGTGACTTCGTTAGACACAGATATTGAATGTTCGTTGGAAAATAACAACTTTTTCATTATATTAATGGTTTTTTGGTTGCTTTAAGGGAACAAACATTTATCTTTTCTGACTCAAAACAGAAATCCATACCCCCCACCCCCCTCTTGAAGAAATGGTTGCTCCCTAATAAAAAATCTGTGCTTTTCGCATCTTGTAAATATATATGCACATATATTTGGGTTTATGTTTGAAATATGCTATCATCAATATTGCTGATTGGATTTATCCATCTTTTTATAGACCTTCACTAGTAAACAAACTCTCCTTATTTTTTTTCAATTAAATAAAATATATCTGTGCGAGAGGTGGTCTGTAGCCGTACAGATGTGCTTACGTACCTGCACTTTTTCAGATTTTTGATAACTGTCCCTCTCTAATTTCAGGATAAACATTGTTGGGCACATCCGTCCTCGTTTGAAAGGCCCTTTTAATATTTTTTCTACATCATCAGGGACGTTTATAATCGCAAAAGTAGGAATATAGAACAAAAAGATGCCTAAATTGAGATTTTTTAACCTATATTGATCGACCTCTGGGTGGGCTTCTCTAAAATTTTATACAGTGTTGTTGGGATGTTGTCTCATTTAAATACTCTTTTTTTTATTCATTTGTTATTCCAAAGACTCATAAAAGAAAAACTATACTCATCCAAAGCCCAGCCAGTTTGTAAGCCAACTAAAATGTGTATGATAGATGGATTAAAACACGGAGGGTTGAGATTTAGAATAAGAGGTTTTGAAGAGCCTGTGTCGGTTGTCTAGGCCTATATTACTAAGATCTCTTTTTAACCGGGTTATTATGGTGAAGTACGGCTGCAAAAGTTTCCATGCAAAAACCTAGGAACCGTCCAACCAATGGTTTTCAAATTTTAATATGTTGTTTCTGATGACAAAATTGAGATGAGTTGGATATAGACGATTTTCACTATTGCTGCTCGGAAGTTATGGTCCTGGCTATAGATTGGAAGTTCGCACTTTGTGTGGTATCCGTGCATTAAGTTATGAGCCGTTCATCCAGTGCTTTCAAATTCTAATATGTTACTGATGACAAAATGGAGGTCAAGTTCGATATTGACTTACACTTTTGTCGTTCAAGATTTCTGGTTCTTCGTCTGTTGGTGGATTGGAAAATGACACTTAAGTGCAGATAGGCACACACATGTGTTTATTAAACCAAGCCTGAAAGCGCCATGCCCATAAATTAAAATACATTGCAATTTCATTCATACTAGCTGTCATCTTTAGTTCAATAATGGTTACCTTCATAATAAATGATCTTATATTGCTGATATTTTTTTGTTTTCAGTTTCTCAGTATAATAATTTTGCCCTAACAACATCTTACAATTTCCACTTTGTCGACCTTCATGTAAGGGCAATAACTCCTATCTCAATATTCTAAATTTTTCTACCCCCCCCCCCTTTTCCCTGGTAAGATTTTCTCTATCTTCAGTGGTTTTCAAGATAATAAACAACACTTGTTTTGCATTTTACCCCTGTTTTATAAGTAAGCCATGTGGGCCATGTTGGTTGGCAAGTGGGATCGGATATTATGACATATTTGTTTAAACTATATACCCCAATGACGATTGTGGCCAAGTTCCATTCCAATGAGGGATTTTTGAGTTATGTCCTTCACCAGAAACAGACCTCAGTTTTGCATCCCTGTAGGACAACAACCAGACAAAGGGATGTGCCAGCATCCTTGCACTATTAAAGATCATAAAGCCTCTCCTGTATTGTAATTATCCAGGATAATCTAGGAATAATTTAAGTTTTTTTAGGTATGTAATCACAATTCCCTAACAACTGCAGTAATAATTATAAAAGAACAGAGTTACAATGTCCCCCGCGTTGCACATATTTTATATTTCCAAGGGGCATAACTCTTTTAAAAAAAATCGATCGTCCACCATTATACAATTTGTTCGAGATATTGCTGATATGAACCTATAGTATATGTTTTATAAAAATCTGGCAAGAATTGTGTCCTTGAGAGCGCTAACGAGGCCATTTTCCATATATTTAATATTTTCAAGGAGCATAACTCTTTTAAAAAAAGTCGATCGTCCACCATTATAAAACTTGTCCAAGATATTGCTGATATTAACCTATAGTATAAATATTATAAAAATCTGGAAAGAATTGTACCCGTGAGAGCGCTAACAAGATTGGACGGACAGACAGATGGATGGACGCTTGGTATTTCCATGTCCCCCACAACGTGTTATGCGGGAGACAATAAACTATGAGAATTTATTTTGCTGAATATTTTGTGTAATACAGCATCAAATTTTTTCAACCAATTGCTCAACATGGAATGGAAGTGATGCCCCAAAATTAGAATTAGAAAACATTTTAATTCCAGAGGCTGAACATGGCCAAAATTAACAACATGGTCTTTTCTTCCGTAAGTATTTGTTCTAATAATGGCAAATGATATCAACAATGCTTTTTATTATGTATTTTTTTTTATATAAAAATTGAATAGCATCAATTTATTTCATTAACAATAACAACACAATAACAATAAAAAATTTAAACATAACATTTACATGTACAACTTTGTATGTATTTTACCCTCAATGTTTCAAAATATTTTTCTTTACTTATTAAAGTATTCACTTTGAAAAAATGAACTCCAAACCATTTGTTAAAAAATATTGAAAATATATCTCTGCTGAAAATTATCCTGGTCAGGAGAGAGTGATGAGTCTCCTACACAAAATTCTGAAACATCAGAATTAAAATTTACAATATTTCATTGTGTTTATTTGTAATATTTCAAAATATTGTGTTTTTCTTTTGAAATGTTACATATGTATGAACAGTTTACAAATTGAAAACATCCACACATTTCATTAAAAACTTTGAAAACCTTTCTCAGCGTAAATTTTTCTCCATGTCAGGAGAGAGGATGTCTCCAACAATTCAGTTAAAAAATAACCTTTTACCATTAATATTTAAATATAAATAGTTTTCTTGGCTTTAAAAAATGACAATTTATAGTCAAAGTCATTGTTTGTTTACACAATAAACATCAGTTAATCAATATCGTATGATACATTCAGAATTTTTGAAAATATTGAAAATTCATACAAAATTTTTTTCACAGGAAACAATGATTAGCTGGTTTTCTAATTCCCTACTAAAAACATCTCCTTTAAGGGTAACTTCTGAAGACTGGGATTCCTATATGGGTTTCTTGATAGTTTCATTTTTCAAAATGTGTAACTTACAATTAAATTTAATTTTTAGGCAAAATTGTTTTTTTCTGGAGAAGGCAGATATTTATAACATAAAACAAATGCAGTGCCACCTTCAAAGTAAAACAAAGTACTTCGAATATGATAGGGGTAAACTCTTACATTACTTCAACCATTAAAATAAATTTCAATAACAACATCAGGTGGGGATTTCTGTTCTAAAAATACATCAGGTGGGAATTTCTTTTATATAAATACATTGACACAATAACTTTTTCTAAGAGAAAATGTTTATGTTTTGATAGACTGTGATGTACAGAAAACTTCAATTCTTTCATTTATGCCAATAAATTAAGCCATTAACTATTGTATTTTAGGATGTTCACTTGTCATGTTTTGGGATTTTTGTCAGATTTTTGGAATCCTCTGGTTTTATCCATTTGAATGCCATAAAAAATTTTGCCCATTGACCCCCATTTTTCTTTTTATAAATCTTTTACATGTATAATTATAAGCCATTTGTTAAAGTCTTATAACATCTTTGTTATTTTTTAATAGTTTTTGAGAACTTAAACTTGTCAATGATAAAGCTATGAAAAATCAAGAGAGAACATTTTCCCGCAAAAATTTCAATGGCTAATATCTCGAAAACAAGCACATTGACCTATATATTTTTTTGGCTTTTTTTGGTTCCTTTATTTATCCCCTATCAATATATACTAGTGTTATGGAAAGCTTGTTATTTTGAAACTGAGTAGCGAACTTCCTTAAACACTGTTTTTTTTTGTGTCATTAAATGGTATATACATTTGTAGTACAGAGTAACCAGATTTTTTCTTTGGTCGCTAGTTTTTGTAGTATATGGCTGAAAAAGATGATCTGTTGAGCCTTATGCAAAAAGCTGGATAAATGTAGAACATATGAACAATGCAAGTATTTCTATCTTACACTTAATGTGGACTTTGTCGTTTATAATTGTCCAAGGGAGGGGGTGAGACAGCAGCTTATTGGTCAAAGTAGTTCATATACAGTGATCACTAATTTTGTTAGTTCAAACTCCGCTTGTGTAAAGGTTTATTTGATGTCAATCTTAAAAGACTTGGATTGCAAATTTTCCTGCCCAAGTCGATGGTTCTCTCCAGGTATCACAGCTTCCTCCACCAATACAGACTGGCCACCATAACATAGTCAAGAGTCAATCAATCAATCCATAACGAGAGAGATGGTCCACAAGCCATTTATATATATAGATTGACATGCAATTTCTATAATTCATCATAAGAATTTTTTTAACTAACAATAACCATGATAACTTAGAAAAAATGAGTTGAGCATTTGTATAATATTCAATATTTCACAAGGTCAGAGATTAATATCTAGTGGCCTGTCCATGATGGGCAGGTGAATTTGGATAGAATCAATGTGAGCTGAAGTGTACCTTTTGAACAAGTATTGAAAAGTACAACCAAATATTAAGACAATAATAGTTCAATGGTATTTTTAAATGCAGTGTATCTACTGGTTTCATCATCTTCCTCAAAATGGATTCACAAAAAAAATATTTTTACATTTTAAAAAATAATCAAACATGTAAAAAAAAATGTACATAATTAATTTCCATTCACATGATTCAGCTCATAAAAATATGTGTTATTTATTATACATTTAATTTTATACAATCTATTCATTTCAGAACTTCCAACAATACTATGACAATTCCTCCTTATAAAAGTACATCATAGATGTATCACAGAATAAACCACCTGTCACAGAGCAGTTGAATTTCAAATGTCTATAGATATAAGAAGATGTGGTATGAGTGCCAATGAGACAACTCTCCATCCAAGTATTTTTTGTACAATGTGACAAATTATGAAAAAATTAATTCATTAATATTGAAGTTTGTCAACGTATCATCTAAAAATGTCAACTTTCTAATAATTATTCGGGAATGCTTAACTTTCTGCTTGTTGAGTTTATTGTAAAAAAAAATATCAACTTTTTGAAATTAAATTTTTGTAAACAAAACAAAATTTGTGATCAAAGGGAGATAACACAATTTTGTCAATTTACTTGATTTCAGAATTATAAAAGACATTGCATCATATTTTTCATCCATTTATTTTGAAAGCAGTATCTCATTTTTTTTAACTCAGGTGTTACATTAGAAGAAGCCTTTTTTTCCAAAACCACAAACATTTATGAAACAGGTTTTCTTTTAAGAAAACCTATTTAAGCTTACAAATGAAAATGTTTTTTGTGTCAAAAAAGTAGCAGTAGACTCAAATGCATTACTAAAAAATTCTATTTACTGAATTTCAGGAATAGAAATGACCTCAGACCATATTTTTCTCCCTATTGCCTTCTAAACATAATCTCATTAAAGAAAATAAAGTTCAAATGTACACATTAGAAGCATTTTTGTCTACTATTACTACATAATTTCAATATCAAATGGCAAAATATGGCATTATTATTCTATTCAGTTCTTCTTCACTTCTACGCATGGTATCTCATGTACTCCTTTCTTGCACTGTATGAAATGATCTTTAATCAGGCAAAAATTTGTTTTCTGCAACAACTGTTTCCACACATCTGTCATATTTTACAGATAACGACCATGTCACGCTAGACAACTGTGAATTGAACAGTCATTGTGACTTTCATTTCACCGCACAGAATATGAACTGTTCGTTGCAATTCTGCTGCAGAGCAAGACAAGTCACTGTGCCATCTTAATTAAGATATTTGACCCAGAATATGAAAATATTCTCAACCTGTTTGAGATTGTACTAGAACAGTCACTGTGCCTTCTTCACTTTCCACTAAAACAGTCTCATGTTCTTCTATGCTTGTATTATTTTCTTCTGATTGTTCTTCCCCTTCCATATCTACTCCTTCTGGAACTTCCACTGCAAGGGAGATAATAAATAATGGATTAGGCTGCAATTACAAGAATCTTTGTTTCCCCACACTCCTACCAAGATTTTTGCTGGTGGGTAGGTAAGTGTTTTTTTTGGTTTTTTTTTAAATGTTTTGGTAGGTAGGTAAGGTGCTTTTTTTTTTTTTGTTAGACACATAGACCATAGTGGGTGAAAAATTGGCTACTTCACTCAGGGTACTACTTTGTTTGTACTGATGCCATTCATTAAGCTCTGTGTCCACCTTTACCATGGGTTTTTCTGGGTATTTTGAGAACCCTGGCCAGTTTTGGGATTTTTTTTTTATATGCGATTTTCAATGAAATTGGGAAAACAACAAATATACCCTTTGTGAGTTTTATTGTGTTTAGTTCATTAAAAATTATCTTTTTTGTGAAAATAAAGTAAGAAACTACATGATTGCTATTCATAATTTTATTTTCTGTTCTTTTTGTTTTTAAACTTGACAACAAGGCACTCAATATAAAATAAGGAGATCAAGTTTATAGTAGTATCAAAATATCGTAGTTCTTAAAGGGCACGTGATAAAAGTTAACAGCCTTTTTTATTTTCAAAGACAGTAACAGTTAATATAATAATTAATTCAGGGATAGGAATAAGATGTATGTTAACTGGTCAAGCAGTCTAACACTTTTCTAAATTCACTTGCTCTTCCTGATTTTTACTGGTCTTTTAAAATTGAGAAAAAATTACCTCTTAGATCTTTTGTTATATGTTTACATAATAAAAACATCTAATATCATGAATATCAACATTTTTAGTGATAAAGAAAAGTGTCACATTTTATTGAATTTTGACATGAAAATTTGTGAACTAAAATTAACTTTGAGTTTCTGCATAAAACATTTCCTGTTTCTTCTTTCTTTGTCATATATCTTTTGGTTTTTGATTCTAGAGTTTATATTTTATACCTGTATTTCATCACGTGAATTTTTATTTATTTATTGTAGTTGATCGGCAAACCTGGAATTAGCCTTATCCACTCCCAGAATATGATGAGGTATTGTAATTGTCTTTCCTGTTTATAGCAGCCATTGTTTGTTATAATGCTGTTTTGTCAGTCAGATGTGTTTTTACTCGGATTTACTCATTACTTGTCGGCGATTTTCGGCATAAAGCTCACGGTTGAACAAAATGAACATCGGTCATAAATAATAAAGATGAAAATTCGTAAGGGTTCCGCAGAACCCAGTGTCTCGCCTACTTTTGCTGTTGTCTATGTTTTCAGTGTGATAGGGGAAAAAAATTATTAAAAATTTTCCTCTAGATACTATCTTTTGATTGTAAGAAGCTTCTGTCCAAGTTTGGTAAAAATCCGGGATGGTTTATGAATCTAATAAATGTTTTAAAATTTTTAACTGCAGACTGTATGTAATGTTAACTGGAAGAAAAACTAAGTCCATTTATAAGTAATATACGGAGAAACAGGAAATAAATTTTTACAAAATTTCCTTCTAGATACTAGCTTTTTATCATAAACAAGCTTCTGTCCAAGTTTGGTACAAATCCAGGATAGTTTAAGAAAGTAATTAAAATTTTTAAAACTTTAACCACAGAGTGAATGTAATGTTAACTGGCAGAAAAACTAAGTCCATTTATAAGTAAATACAGATAAACAGGATTTTTTTTTTACAAAATTTACTTCTGGATACTATCTTATGATCATAAACAAGTTTCTATCCAAGTTTGGTAGAAATCCAGGATACCGTAGAAAGGCTTGTATAGTTCGCAGTGCTACATAGTCCGCACCCCCTTCTCCCCACGAAATTTTAGGTAAAAAAACTTTTTGTAACTGTTAGAAAAGGTCTAATGAAACTCCGGTAATTTCAAATCCTGTGCGGTCGTTTGCGGTATTTTCTTGGAAAAACCTGTTTTCCATCATCAAACAGAAGCTGAAACTTGTTAATGATTCTAGAACGCTTCATGATTGTTAAAATAAGTTTAATTCACTTAAAAAACAATTTAGAAACTTGTGTATGTTTAAACAGGAAGTTTAAAAAGCACGTGTAAAAGAAGAAATTAACCGGTGAGAGTCGAAATCCGTACATAACAGATATCACTATAATATGACTTTGAAAGTAAAACAGTTCCATCCTTTTGTAAAACAGTCTTTAATATATCTATCACATTAATGTTTGAAGGGTCTTAAGCTAATACAAACCATATTAGTCAGTATGAAACACCAAAACGGAACGAACAATAACCGATTTCGTTTTGTAGTTTACAAATTCTAACCTGGTTTACGGTTGTCTTTTTCACTATGTTTGTATCGTTTCAATCGAGCAGATACCAGTTTATTTCAACCAATGCATTGAAAAGAAACGAGAAATTTGTAATGAAAGGTTTAGTTTTTATATTTATCAGTATTAATTTGATATTGAATAGAAATAACTTATTAATATGGATGAGTTAAAATTATTAGTTTGAAAAATGATAAGAGCGCCCTCTACAATAGAAATAACAAAGATGGTGTAACGTAAACAAACCACCTCGACCGCGAAATTGAAATTTTTCTCTTATTTCTTGCTTATTGTACTCTATAGTCCGCACCCCGTCTGGAAGGTCCAATTTTGGAGAATAAAACCGCGGACTATACAAGCCTTTCTACGGTAGTTTAAGAAAGTTAATAAAATTCCAAAAACTTTAACCACAGAGTGAATTTATGTGGACGCCGCTGACGGAATGTAGGATCGCTATGTCTCGCTTTAGGGACAAAAGTTGCAGGCTCGACAAAAATGAATTTTGAGATCGTTTTTGAATTTTGCTCCCAAAATTGAGAAAAATGTAGGTTTTGGAAAGGATCCTAATACCGGACCCTGTGGAATGCTAGAAATATCCATGTGAGTAGTTCCGATAGGTCACAAATACGCATTAAGAAAGAAGTCAAATCCAGATTGCTATTTGCAGAAATCAGTTTTTGGTCAGATGCAAAAAAAGACAAAAAAAAATTTGAGTCAGGGGCTTTTTTCCCAGTCGGTCAGGGTGTGGGGAATCAAACCTATTTATTATTTTGGCCCTATTTGCTTTATAACAATTTAATTCTCATTAAAAATAAATGTTCACAGCAAGTATAAAAATTTCAACAAATTGATTGATTTCATTATATATGACATAATTATTTATTGACAAATGGGAGTTTTTCAAAAAAAAAATTAAATATGCAAGATTAAGAAAATAAATTCCATTAAAAGATATTGAATAATAAGTTAATGACCTCTCCTACAACTTGTACAACTAATTTGACACAAACACTTTTATTGCTGAAAAACTTACTATCCTTTAAAATATGAATCATTTAGCAAAGTTTACAACTGGGTCATTACTGAATTGCTTTCACAAGAATATTTTGAATACAAAGTTTACATGTTTGTATCATTCTTTTATTTTCAAAACTGGTTCTGAAGCATCCAATTGAGTGACAGATGTTTTAAAAAGTCAAATTAATTCTTTTCTGTAGCATTTATTTGTAAGACATTTTGCAATCAACTACTGACAATGGAAACTCCTATATTCTTGTGCAAAAAAGTGGCAAAAGTCAAAGTTACCATCACAAACACTGATCTGTAATTATCAGATACTGTGGATCGTTTTTTTGTGAGTACTAATTTTTCGTAGATTGAGGAAAAATTGTATTTTGATGGATATTTACATGTAATTTAGTAGTTTAGTAAAATTTTGCATATAATCCTATATAAAATTAATATATATAATCCTATATAAAATTAATATTCCGTTGAACATTTAAATTTGTGGTTTCCCTTTAGCAACGCAATCAATAAACTTTTGAACCACACCTCAGTAGTTTACTTTCAAAGGTATTTTTAAATTCATTGTACTGAGACTTACCACTATCTATAGCAGCACCTTTCGTACCTCTGTTGTTAAAATGTGTTTTTCTGTGTTTTGACAGATGATCACTTCTCATAAATCTCTTATGGCATTCCTTACATTCAAACCTTTTCTCTCCTGAAATACATACAAATCCATATTATAGTTAATTAAATGTAGTAACAAGTTAAATTAAATGTTTGTACTGCTCAAATACTCCACTTGGGTCTATTGGAAACATTTGCTCTTCAACTACGTACCTGATTTGGCTTTTAACTTTTTCTATTCCAGCATCACTGATGAGTCTTTTGTAGACGAAATAAGCATCTGGCGTACAAAATTGTAAGCCTGGTATCTTTGCAGAGTTTAATTTAGCAAATAGATGATAAATGTTCCTGCAGAAAAATTTAAAGAGACATGCCTAACATGAACATTTGCCAGCTTGCCAAATACTAGTTTAACCCAGTACATTTTTTTTCCATTTTGGATTGTGCCATGCTTTTATTGATTTGTGAATAATATATCTTGTCAACAACCTGTTTATAATCTGTAATCATAATAATTGTTTATATTTTTATGGCAGAAGTTTATATAACTTTTATCTTGTGAAGATTATTGAACTTTATCAGTGGTGTTCAGAGTGGCACACCACAGGTATTCTTAGTATCTAAGGTTAACTGTCAAATCATGAGGAATCGTTACATGGTGTTTCGTGTCTTTTCAAGCTGCATGTCATGCATGTGTGTACATGATGTATATACATATACATATACTCAGTCTTATTTTGCATATAAATTCTAAGTGAAAATGAAATGTTACCAATTACCCAAACCTCTTACAGAAAGGAACATAAACAAAATTGTAAACTATCCATAATGTCAATACAAACCTGTGTGTGTTCTTCTATGTCGCTGTAATTCATCAGAACGTGTAAATCTTTTATTGCAGAATAACCAGTTACAAACAAAAGGTCTTTCTCCTGTATGCCAACTGAAAATGATAATTGGATTATTACCTTCTTTGATCAGTAAAATCAGTTAAAAGTTGTTTATTGTTTCAGGCTATTGTAAATTGTAAATAATTATAGTACAGACAATCATAGGAAATGTTTATTTTTAGACATAATTTGTGTGTCATTTAAGGTTATATGCCTATTTGGTGTACATTGCATGCAAAATAACTAATCAAACTGTTATGAGCATGTTAGGGTAAAGATTGCTTTCATTTTCAAATTTTGTGACATAGAATTGTAATTTTAAATTTGAATTGGAGTTATCTTCCTTTGTTCATGATTGTACATTTGTAGTAGACCTATTTTATAACAGATTCATATGCTTTGCATTACTCTTGTAATTTTTAATTAAAAAGAAGTGTTCTGGACAAGTACTGTAATTCAAATACACATCATATTGTAACTTGAATATCTAAGTATATCAGTGTTCCCGCCTGCCCTAAATAGAAGGGCGGCCCGCCCTTGGTGCCCTTACCCCCGCCCTTCTGCCCTCCAAAGTAAAAGAATGCACCCCTCTGCCTTTTCAAAAAAATAAAATTTTCAAATTTCATGCCTACCAGCGTTTCCGGTAAAATTGTTACCTGATTGTGTAACACTAATTAACTGACAATGGGATTAAGTTAAATACCTAGTGCTTTGGCAGTTTTATCACCTTTGTTAATGATTGTTTACTGCTAATTAGTGGATTTAAGATAATTGAACAAATACTAGATATTTAATACAGAATGAAATGTCCACATGTTATCCATTTGTAATGTTTATGTACAGCATGTACACCTGAAAAAAATTATCTCAGTAGGCATAACATAAAAAATAAAATCTTAAACAATTTTAAAGGCATACATAGTTTTGACTTAATTGGTAAAAAATGTTTTGTTTCATAACCATGAGTATGAAATTTAAAGAGGAATCAAAGAAATTTGTACTTTGAACATAACAAGATTCACTTCCTGTTTTTAATACTTCTTGTATTTTATAATCCTCCTGACATAGGAGCACTCAACAAAGTTATTTTTAACAATGATGGAGAAAAAAGTAACTGTTTATACCTTCTGCAATATATAATTGCATCAATATAAAATATGATTATCTCCTGTCTCACCTGTTATATTTATAAAACTCCTTACTGAGGAGCACTTTGGTGTGCACTTAAAAATAATTTTTTGTAACAATTCAAATGATAATAAATAACTCTCAATAACATATATACTATATGTTTGAACAAATAATTTAAATGTAGATAATTTAAGTACATTCAACATTCAATTTTGCATGTATAACTCCATCTTTCAAAACTACTTGTTTATTTTGGTATAAGTTATAAAACCTTGAAATTTCTGATGATTATTTTCCATACCAAATGTACAAGTTTGTTTAGATTAACATCAAAATGATATGCTTTGCTTCATGGTATGATAATTTGATGGAAAAAAATTCTTACTGGAACCAACATCAAGAACACATTAATTTCTGAATATGGTTTAAATACAACTAATGTTCTCCAGCTGAGCCTAGCAATATTCAAGGTAATTTATACACAGTCCAACATTGCCCTTAAAATCTGGGTTATAACGCTAAAGTGCCCTTTCAGACAACTAGCACCCTTCTGCCCTGAGATTCAAGCTGGAACACTGTATATTATATCATTAATAAATTGCATGACATTGACTGGATAGGATCTACAGACTGATCACTTCACTGTACTATTTTCTTTGAACTATAAAAGGTAGTGATATACCTTGGATTGATTGATTGATTGTTGGTTGCTTAACGTCCAGTGGCTATATACCTTGGAAGATATAGATATCAAGTCATTACCATAAGGATTTTGAATGCATTTCATGCAATCTCCCCCCCCCCCCCCACCAAAGTATGTTCCAGACACTCTTTCCTACCCTCCCACATTCATTTTATAGCATATATCAAAGCTATTTTTGCTTTCAATTCCTGAATATTTTCAAACTGTTTGGATAATTTTTTTATCAGAAATTACAAAAAGTACTGGTAAAGGTATATATTGATCCTATCATAAACAAAATTATCATTTCAACATGCACACTTCTTTAAAAATGTACACCATTACAAATTACCGTAAATGAGCTCTAAGATGTGACGTCTTTCCATAAACTTTGTTACAGCCTGGTATGTGACAAATATGCTGTTTCTTTTTGTTTTCACCCGTCCTGAAAAGAAAAATACAAATGTACATTTATCATAAAATTGAGAATGGAAATGGGGAATGTGTCAAAGAGACAACAACCCGACCATAGAACAGACAACAGCAGAAGGTCACCAACAGGTCTTCAATGGAAAAGAAAAAAGTACTTCATTTTCTTAAAAAGCCACAAAAACAAGAATTTGGAATATTTGTGATGCAATATAATTGCACTTTAATTCACATCCAATTTAAAAAACAAACGTTGCTCTAAGTATGTCTAAGGAGAGGAATTTGTAATCAGTATAAGTGACTTGTCACTTGTTTTCCAATCCATGTATTGTATTGATGTACATATTTATTTATTTATTTCTAAAATAAAATATTGTTTACACTAAATATGTCTACAGATTTCATATGAACAAACTGTATGTGCCTGTCCCAAGTTAGGAGCATGTAATCTACTTGTTGTCGTGTGTTGCTGTAAATCATATTTGTTTTTGGTTTGTTGTTTTGTACATAAATCAGACCTTTATTTTCTCTTTGAGCTGTTTTAACTTTATCATGTCTGGGCCTTTTATAGCTTAACAGATGCGGTATGGGTAATGCTCATTGTTGAAGGCCTTTCAGTGATTTATAGTTGCTTAAACTTCTACGTCATTTAGTCTCTGGTAGAATGCATATGTTGTCTCATTGGCAAACATACCATATGATCTTCTTATTTCTATAAAGCTTACAACTTACCTTCCTTCATTGTCTTTACAGTTCGGACAGGTACAAGCTACTCTTCTTAGCCTTCTGCCAGGTGTCCCACTGTCTTGTATAATTTGTTCTCCTTTGAATGGTGGGCTAAGGGAGGTAACCTGGTTTGTCTGTGTGGTAGGAACAATCTGCCATTTGGTTGGGTCATTGGGATCTTGTTGTATTGTAGTTGGCTGACCTAAAAATGTATATCAATTCTCATACATGTTCATACACTATTTTTGCTAAACTTGTCACATGTAGAAGTGATATGTATACATATATTAATATTTAGACTTATTGAAACAACTTTCTTTAAAGAATTAAACATTCTCCAACATCCTGAACATGTCTAATGTAAAAAAAAAAATCTGATAAATTGATCGTCAAAAAAAAATGGGTTCCAAACCTCCCCCCCACCCTGGATCAGCCATGGCTTTCTTGTTCAAAAATTCATGTATCATGTGAATTTTGCCTTTTCTCAGTTGTACACTCATTCTCATAAAAGAACATTTAGAATGACAAAAGCTTTTAAAAGCACTGATTAATTTGAATGTACAAAAGTTGTACTTTTTCTGACAAGTACATGTACTATAAGTGTTTACATGTATGTATCAAACAGTCCACCCTACATTTTCTCAACGTCTGTTTGCCAATTCCATAATTGGCCCTGAAATTAAAGATCCATTTGTAAGAGTTATTTCCCTTACCATACATTTTCATTGCCAATGAAGAGCAAGCATAATAATAATAATTCTTTATCTAAAGAGGGTTACACAGTTAGCTATAAAACTAATCTTCCCTGAGGCCCTCATAACATACATTGAAATACAACAAGCAGAAAATTACACACATAAGAAAATTCAATAAAGAAATTGTTATGAAATTTTCAAAACAGTTAAAATGATGAATTCATATAGTATTGGCATCATTCAAATTACCTCAACAATATTCAAAGTTTAAGTAAATGTGAAAAATTATTAACCGGTATGCATATAAAATTACAAAGCTTCTTAATGTTTCAACAAGTAATTTTTTAAATCTTTTTTGAATGTGCTTCAATATCTGTGAGTACAAATGTAATGTGTGAATAGTTTAAGTAAGTGTGAAAAATTATTAACCGGTATGCATATAAAATTACAACAGTCAGAGATATAACTCTATAGGGTTATTACAGAAAATAACTTGCGTTGTTATTACAGATATTTTCATGAGTTATCTACTCTTTATTCCTTAAATTTTCTAAATCTGTAATAACATATGTTTGTTATTTGTAAAATAAATGAAAAATATTTTAATTTATAGTGGGCTCAAGGGAACTCTTGAGACTTTCATGACTTTGGCAGAAACTAAATGCATAGCCTTGATAACTAATTTTTAAATTAAATTAATACATTTTTGATTAACCATGGTAAATCAATGAGACAAGGCTTTTAAGGGATAAACTTAGCTGTAATAACAAGGCTTAGTTATTAAAGGAATGTAACTTATTATATGAGACACTGGGGAATTACTGGGAAGCTTGTGCAGAACCTCATTACATGCTCTGGTCATTATTTCTTACAATAAATTAAAATACATTGTAATTAAGCATGATGTATGTCTCAGCAAATGCTTTGGAGTGATATAGAGAAGCTGTGATAACACCCTTTAGTTATTACAGGCATATTTTTTCTGTAATAACATAGGTATACTATGCAAAATTGTCAAACTATGAACTGTTATATCTTTCTATAGTTAAGTATACATAAAGACAATAGTAATATCAATAGAACTTGCATACATTTTAACTAAACTAATGTGTATTGTCCCTTTGCAACGTGTAACATACATATGTTATCACAGTTCTTTGATTTTTCAGACCATAATAACAAATGTATGTTATTTTTCTGTAATAACCCTATAGAGTTATATCCCTGACTGTACAACATGTACAAAGCCTCTTAATGTTTCAACAAGTAATTTTTTTAATCTTTTTTGAATGTGCTTCAATATCTGTGATTACAAATGTAAATGTGTGAATCTGTAAGTATTTCATAACTTTATATTACATTTGTTCTTTTTTATAAGCTAAAAAAAAAATTTGGATATAATTACCCAGTAGTTATATATTTTTCAATAAAATTGATTAAAACAACTGTTTCAAATGTATCACCTTCATTTTGTGCAGTGAAGACCAAGTCTACAATTGGCAAAGGTGAATCAACTTGTCTTCTTTTTCTTTATTTATCATGTTTATAGTTCTGCACTCCATCAACATACATGTACTGAGCATAATGTGCCAGACACTGATGTTACAATGCCTTATGTGCATGGAATCAAATTTCTATTTACAGTCAAATATATACATGATAAACAATGTACAAATAAAACTTTAAAAGTAATTTTTCTTTTTCCTAATGTTTTTGTACTATACGTTTTGGTTAAAATGTTATCCTAAAAAAATATTCTGAGCCCCAATTTGATGAAAAAAAATATTGTGGTCAAGCAGATGACAAAAAAAAATATTCAGAATCCATAGTGTTAAATTTTGAAAAAATTTATTTTATTGACAGCGTCGAAAAACTAGAAAAATTTCAGACTCTGACAAAAAACCATAACCCCCTCTTGAAGTTAAATGGTTGACCCCTTATATGAAAAAAGTCTATTGGCAAAAACACTATTCATGTCAATATCTTACCTATCAGTTGTGAAGCATTCACTTGTTGATTCCCAGCTTGCTGTAGATTGATGTTGGTAACAGTTGCAGGGAAGGACTGAGGACTGGTTTGCTGTTGGTTTGTCTGTGATGACATAGCTAAAGTTCCTTGTGGTGTCAAAGTGACAGTGCCTAAATTCTGTGGAAAATTTGAGCCAGTTGCAATTAACTGTCCTTGAGGAGTCAACTGAAAACCTTGGATACCACTGTTCTGCACAGTTTGAAAATTTTGCATATTCTGCAAAGCTTGTAAATTTGGAACTTGTATTGTCTGAACTCCTTGTTGACGAATATTAGCAACATTTAAAGCAGAAAGCCATGGATTGATAACTTGGTTCTGTCCGTTTAACTGAACTCCTCCAACAGACTGGTTGGGCATTTGAATTGTAGCAAATTGTTGGGGCGTCATTATATTTTGAACGTTGGATTGTTGTTGTGAAGATGCAACAGAAACAGTGTTTGTTGTTGAACCATTTGCTTGCGTCGCTGAACCCAAAATGAAGCTTTGCCCACTATTACCATTGGAGACTGGTATAAGCTGCCCAGTTGCTGTATTTAGAACAAGTGAGGGCAGCTGTGATAAAATATTTGGTGTCAAATTTTGCCCTGGTGTCAATATTGTTTGTCCAGAGATATTCTGCTGAACAGCTTGTAAAATTTGTTGATGTTGTTGGTTTGCTGGTTGTGAATTTACCACAGTTGCAGTCTGTTGTGGAGTTGAGGGTTTAGTATCCACTTCTGATGGAGCTCTTGTTACTGAAGCGATATTTGGGTTAGCTTGGATTTCTATATATTGTGGTTGTTGTTGCTGTTGAATTTGTATTGATTGTGCACTCGTTGTTGCTGAAGAAACAGACGTCTGTGCTTGTCCTGCTTGTGTTGTCATGCCTCCATCTGACGTAGTGAACTGTTGCCCCAGATGTTGCTGTTGAAAAGCTGATACGGGAATACCCTGAACTGGAATTTGGACTGTTTGCATGACTGTTTGGCCGTTAGCAGTTGACATTGGTATCTGTATGAAGTTTGGAACATTTGCCACTTGAAATTGATTTTGGGGCTGTTGCACTTGTAAGGCCTGTAGTATATTTTGTCTGACGCCAGGCATTCCTTGAACATTTCCCAAGTTAACAATATTTCCACCTAAATTTAAAACATTGCCTAAATTTGGTATCCCTTGTGCACCCGCACGAATTATTTGCCCTGAAGGTGTGGCAAACAAAGTTTGTTGCTGTTGTTGGTTTCCTGCAATTATCTGACCGTTATTACCAGATGCCACTGTAGACGGAATAAGAATTGCTTCCTGGCCGTCAACGTTGACTGTTTGAAACGGCTGTACGACATTGTATGTCAGATTTCCCCCAGGGCCTGCTGTCGCTATTATCTGTGGTTGATTTGAGTTCACAGACTGTTGAACGAATTGACCTCCGCCCAGTGATGAAAGGGGAATTCCAAAAGTTTGTTTACCACTCGAATCGACGACGGCACCGGCCGGAAGCTGTACCCAGCTGGGAACAACAACATCGCCACTCCCATTTCCGTTAGCCCCAATGACTCGAACCTGCTGTTGAGTACCATTTTGACTCTGTCCCTCCTCTTGATTATGTGGGGGAGCTCCAATCTTACTGCATGTTGCTGCTAGGAGAGCCAAAGGGGATGGCTGTGTTTCCTGAAACGAGGCGGGGTCACAGATTAGGGGTGTGCATCACAATGGCCACCGCGAAGTTTTTTCGTCAACATTAACCGAAATTTGACTAAAAAATTAATTTTCACTTACTTGCGTTGCTCCACCTGGAACAACATACTCCTGGTTATTTTTCTTAGATGCTGTCGAGGTCATTAAGACAGTTTATATCCTTAAAATAGCAAATACACAATTTTTTACAAACAAAAAATGGGCAGTCAACAAAGAAAGCAAGGTGCCCCTGTACTGTGGCTTCCTTCCAAGCCGACTATATTTGTATATTAAGACGCGTTGTGATTTTGGCAGTTTCATTCTTTTCTTTTCAATAGAAATTCATACTTTTCAATTATTTAACATTTTTCTTCATTTTCAAAGATATTTAAATGTCTTATTTGTTAATTATTAGACGTTCGTCAGTAGAACTACTTTTTATATCGGATTAAATAATCAATACAATAGATTGTAAACAGGTGTCTGGCGTGGTATGAGAGCTTTGATTGACAGCTAGGCGTTGTAAGGGGCACGTGTTAATGTCTACTTTATCGACAACATCAAAGGAACTGTAATTTTCATCAGTGTAGAGGTACATAAGGGGGGAATTAGACTTGTTTTTGTAAAAAAGCTAGTATAAACGATAAATATGAATAACCAATGTTTATTTTAAATATCTAATTTGATATATCAAGTCCATTTCGCTATTTCAAAATACACGAATACTGACATCTTCGTCAGTCAACATGTTTATTGAATAGTTTTTTTTTATGTTTTTTATGGATTTTTTTATTATAACATTTTTTTGGTATAAAGTTGTTTCTGTTTCTTTAGAGATTTTTTTTTGTTCATCTGAATAAATCGGACACAAAAACATGATGGACATCAATTTCCCTTTTCTTGTACAGGGCGGGACTTCTGCTCCCTGCTTTATCCCCCTGGATCCGCCCATGGAATGCGGACGATTTAAATCGAAGTGGAGTCGCCCACATTAAGAATTTGTATAGTAAACAAACTTTAAGTTACAAATCCTTGCCCACATATTACGGAAGCGTATCATGGTATCAATAGTTTTTATTATTTATGGGAATCACAATTACGATACGGACAGGCGAGCAGGGTTAAAAAATGTGTGTGTTTGTAGTTCTTGGGAGCCTTGGGACATGGACCCCCTTTTCTTTTGCCCTTTTTGTGTTAAAATTTTACACCAAAAAATGAGGTCAGAAGTGCAGCATATAAAAACATCTGTTATTGTAATATCGTATGGATAAGGGAAAGGACACATAAATAAGTTAAAATGATAAAGAACAAATAGTTTAAAATACCATAAACAATTCCCCCCCCCAAAAAAAAACAACTGAAAAAAGGGTGGTCCATACCCAAAGCACCCGTGGAATGGCAGCATTGTGATAAACTTTGAAATTTTGAAAAGGGGATTTAGGAAATATATATGATAAGACAACAAACATATGACATGTTCGCGATCGGACACACTGATCAAAAGAAAATAAACCGTACAGACGAAAATAATATATCAACGGTGCACAATCAAGGAAAAGGTTACTGCCTCCCCAAATAGGTACTATTCACATAGAGTTCCTTATATATATACACTAGGTTACTTGTACCACTGATCTGACCAGTAATATATATAGCATCAGAGGCTACACAGCAGATGCAGATATAGGAATCATTTTGAAATGGGGGCAAACTAGGCAACGTTAGGAGTCACTGTGGGACATATAAAAAGTCCATGCATTTACCATAATTTGTAGCTCCATAAGGGGGATCCCCCTGCCCCATGAATCCACCTCATCATAGTAGTCTCAGCAAGAATGCGATAATTTTTCATACGACTATACTGTGAACGTACATGTGGACCCTATTATTGGCGTTAAATCTACATGCACTGGTTGTTTAAACGGTCATAAAAGCTGTTAGACTCGGATTTAGATAGGGGCAGGTAAGCCGGGCCCTCTTATGGAGCTACATATATGGCAAATGCATAGACCTATTACTTTTTCCACTCCTAATGTTGTCACATTTGCCTCTTTCAAAATCCTGGATCCGCATCTGGCTGTTTGTAGGAGGGTCTGGATGGGGTCCTCATTTCTGTTTTCTTTTATTTTCTAGGTCATTTTTCTCTTTTCTCTATACTTTTTGCCCATTATTCTCTATTGTTTATACTTTTTGTCCATTATTCTCTATTCTTTATATTTTAGCACCTCATTTTTCTCTATTCTTTATACTGTTTGTCCATTATTCTCTATTCTTTATATTTTAGCACCTCATTATTCTCTATTCTTTATATTTTAGCACCTCATTATTCTCTATTCTGTATACTTTTTGTCCATTATTCTCTATTCTTTATACTTTTTGCCCATTATTCTCTATTCTGTAAACCCCTATATCCACACCCTCATGTATACGTAAGCATAGGGAATAGTTAATAAATATGAAATTAACTTCAAATATATATTCGAAGGATACAAATGTAATTAATTTCTAGTATATATAATGTATATAACCAAAAAGAGGAAGATTTAATTTCATTTTTCCATTTTCGGATATAAACATTTGACATGAAAATTACATCTACAATTTCAGATTTAAACAATTAAATAGCAAACAACTAAAACAAGTCAAAAGACACTTTCAATGCGCATCTGGTGCATCAAAATTGGTACCGTTTGTATTATTTCGAAGTTCTCAATCAATTAGCTCATGGTAATACACCATGTAGGTGTGGCCATAGATGTATAAACCGCGGCTATGGTTTATACACCTATGGTGTGGCTGATATTAAATTCAATAATAATATGAAAATAATCCAAATATATGTCTATTCTATATATAGCCAAGATGATTACCATGGTTACAGTCAAGTGAGATGGCAGTATATATAGTATCTTAAGTTAAAGATAGCTGACAAGGGAATTACTTATGGACTGATTGACATGTTTAAATGTTTGATCAAATGTGCAAATTTCTCGTATCAAAAACATAAAAGGTAGCAGTGTATAAACTTAAATGCCTTAAGGATAATCCAAAATTAAAAAGTACCTTCCGCCGATGAAACAAATATTTGTAATTTCCACTCAAGGGCTCCAAAGGTCAAACATTTTTGACATGACAATGACATCAATGATTCGAGATTAAAAAGATTAAACCATTTAACACAATCTAATTAAAATATAGATCTCGGATTTCGTTATACTACGTTATACTACCTCGTATGTAGTATATAACGAAATCCGAGATCTATATTTTAATTAGATTGCATTTAACATTCAATAAAATGAAGTGAATAACACTCTTTTTTTAAGATTGTAAGTTGATATTTACCGAATAGCTCATGATATAATAATACACCATGCAATTGTGGCTGATATTAGTTTTATAATTTTATACTATTGATTGATTGATTGGTTGGCGTTTAACGCCACTTTCAACACCTTTGTGTTAGTTCTTTTTAGTGGAGGAAGCCAGAGTGCAACAACGACATTCGGTAGGAAAACTGACAATCCTAGTCAATTGAGATTGGAGTCGAGCGCACCTTCCACGTGCGGGATTCGAACTCACAACCTCAGTGTTGACAGGCTAGTGATACAGTGGTTCGACTACTTTTTTTCTCTCTTGACTTAGACCACTCGGCCACCGAGGCCCGTCTTTGAAATTAGTGGGAGTCAAACTTTGTGGGTTCATATCTTTGTAGAAAGTGTTCAAAATGATCTGAAATTAAAATCGTTCCTGTTTTAAATGATGTTTAATTGATTAAAGAAAAAAAAAACTAAAAAAATATGAAAAATATTTGGGGGTTTGAAAAAGATCCCCTCAAAATTAAAAAAAAGTTTTTGGGGAAGAAAATGTTAGTTTCTGTTCAAATGTAATAAATTATGTCGTCATATTGACCACTTCGTAAATTTTTGTACGTTGTATGCATTTGTTTAACTAAACCATGTGCAAAAATATTATTACATTATAACTTTCAATGTTAACCCCTTTCCTCAAAGTTTGCAAATAGTATAGCTTCCCGTGTCAACAGCAAGTCATATTTGATATGTTATGAGTCAATTCAATTAATATTTGGAGCCAAAATTTTCAAAATATGTATGCATAAAATACTGTATAATAAAATAGAAAAGAATATACTTTATTCCAGGTTTATGGGTCCACTGCATAAACTAGAGAATAAAATAGAATAGAATTACAGTGGACCCATAAACCTGGAATATAAACTAGAGAATAAAATAGAATAGAATTATTCTATTCTATTTTATTCTCTAGTTTATACAGTGGACCCATAAACCTGGAATAAAGTATATTCAATATACTTTATTCCAGGTTTATGGGTCCACTGTATAAACTAGAGAATAAAATAGAACAGAATATACTTTATTCCAGGTTTATGGGTCCACTGTATAAACTAGAGAATAAAATAGAATAGAATATACTTTATTCCAAATTAATGGTCCCTTAGGTACATTAAGGATGTTCGCTCCTCTTGTTTTTAATTTTTTGCCAAATATTCGGAATCCTCTGGTTTTATCCATGTAGTGCCTTTAAAAATTTTTGCCCACAAACCCCTACTTTTCTCTCCATAATTTGATTACATATAGTCGAAAATGTCATCTCTGAAAATATAAAATCCTTGTTATTTTTCCATCGTTTTTGAAAGAAAAAAATGTGCCAATGTTAATCGTATGAAAAGTCGAGAGAGAATTATTTCCCGCCAAATTTTCAATAGCTTATATCTCGAAAACAAGCACACGGACCCTTCAATTTTTATCTGCTTTTTTAGTTCCTTTATTTATGAACTATCAATTTATAACAGTCTTTGAAAAGTTTGTTATTTTGAAACAGAGTAGCGAACATCCTTAAACAGGTACAAAGAACAATACTGCATCAGATTGTTAGAATATATATTTAATATATAATGTATATAAAATTACATATAAAAATAAGAAGATGATCATGTGGTATGATTGCCAATTTAATGAGACAACTGTCCACCAGAGACCAAATTACATAGCAGTTAACAACATTATAGGTCACCGTGCGTCCTTCAACAATGAGCAAAACCCATACCGCATCAGTCAGCTATCATGAAAAGCCCCCGAAATGACAAATGTAAAACAATTCAAACGAGAAATCTAACGACCTCTTATTGTGTTTCTTAAGGATGTACTTTGGTGAAATTAAAAAAGTCTAGAATTTGAAATTAATATTATAAGTCAGAAGAGCATTAGTTAAGGAACAT